TGTACAATATCTCTGAAAGGAATCGCTTCCTGAGCGCATGCAAAGGTCTCTTGGAAAACAAGATAAAGAGAATTAAAAGCTTTGAGCGCATGCAAAGGTTTCTTGGAAAACAAGATATAGAGGATTAAAAGCTTTGACAGGTGAGGAAAAGGTGAAATAGTATAGAGAGGCCGTAGGGTTGAATAAATAACTGCCAAAATATAAAACAGTGTTCCGACAATGAAAACAGTTAAAAAAATAAATAAAAAGACCAGCTAGCAGTTATTCCTCGGATGCACTCAACAGCGAGGAAAATTTGAAAGCTACCTTACAAGGGTTAAATAAGCGCGTGAATTAGTAAAATCATTGTATCTGAAAATGATATGTTTAACCGTCATCGGAAGCCTCTCTCTTAAAAAGAGTGATGTTTGTTCAACAAAAGTAAGTTGTCGAAGAAAAAAAAAATCTAGCAAAATAAAACGCCGTAAAACTTTTTTTTTCTTTGACGACAATGGAGGAAGGAATCGTAGGGTAAGGAGAGGGTTGGGGTGGTGTGGGTAAGATTTTATCCTTTCTTTCCTTTTTATATTCTCGGTGTTTTCAAAATGCATCGCCGAAATGCAGGTTCAAGATCATGAATAATTCGGGAAGAACCACTTCAGCATTGACACATGAACTTCAAAATATCGTAGGCAGCTTCACGAAAAATTGCGTTAACCTGTCGAGTCAAAGTTTATTCAAATAGGTCAATATTTTGTAATTGAAGGCAACATTATCAAATGGAGGCACGCTTACGGATTTCTTCTGTAATGTTAAGACCCTGCGTTTTTACAGCCTGGCTGCAATAAAGCCGAAACCCGAAAGATTCAATACGACAAAATGTGCACCATTATATTCAAAAGTCACGATTTTAGATACATGTTAAAGAAGCTTTCGACTAAATAAAGAGCCGTGCATGATTAGAAAGTATGGAATTCAACGAATCTATTAGAAAAAGAGCAGTTCCCCTTTTTCGGCGAAGTCCGCCGCAGTAATAAAGAAATCAGCGAACGTTAATTTTGATGTAAGCGCGCCGTCGGGACGACGGACTTCGCTGAAAAAAAGGGACTGCTTGTAATCCATGAATCTGTATTTATTTAACTGCGGTAAACCAAACAAGAGGCGGTAACGTTCTTTATGCCCCATTTGTTTTTCATATTTGTAAAAGAAATGAATTATGCGTTATTACCTATGGTTCGTAAATTTGAAAGAAGTATGCAATGAGGACAAATTATTTAGAAAAAAAAATTAATTTCACCGATAGGTCGAGTACCTTACTACCTATAAATTAAAGTTTAAGCAGTCATGTCACACTTGCGAGAGGTAATATCCTGTCTTCGGAGGATAAGGTCCTTTTCCACCGGTTTATTTGTGTAAAAATCGTTGTTTACTTATGTCAAAACTCCATGACCTCAGTAAGTGGCGCAGAATCCTTTCCGATCACACTTTTCACCGCAGCTCGTAACTCGTGCATTTTCCAGAAATAGAGAAAAGGATTCCACGAGGAAGGCAGAAAAGCTAAGGTACGAGTGATGTCATAAAACGCCTCGACTTCGCTCGTGAAACCCACGTACACATACGCAAATAGAACACACGTAAATGGAAGGTATGATACCATGTACAAACCGGAAACATACGCCATATTGATGACGGTTTTTTTAAACCTCTGAACATCGATGGGTTGGCGTCCTGTACTCACGGAACTTTGCGCTTGTATCTGAAGGAAATGTCGGCGAACCTGTTTGTAAATTTTCCAGAAAGATATCAACAAAGTAAAAACTGAAAGCAGCAAACCAACGATATTAATGTACAAGAATATTTTTACATTCTTTACGGCGAATCTTGAAAGGCTTAGAACTCCTGTACCAATCACGAGATGGACAAGATACATCTGAATCTTTCGCGTGGTGACTAGCTCGTTGTACCTGAGGTGGTAGTGAAGCGCGAGGTAGCGCTCTCCGGTAATAGCAGCGAATAACGCACACGAAACCGCAGCCGAAAACCAGGCGACTATCTCTGTAATGACCCTGCAAGTGCACGAGGCAGAGGTATGTCCGAAGAGATACGCTACCTTGTAGGCTCCGTAAAACGGCTGAACAATTAGTCCAGTGAGAAAGTCAGCAAAAGCCAGGCACCACAGAAGCAAATGAGATTGTGAGCGTAGATTGTCTGATTTTAAGAAAGTGAGAATGATAACTGCATTTCCCGAAGTAGCTATGAACGAGCAAAAAAAATTTATCGCTGTAGTAACCACTGATTCCACATACAGAAGTTCTCCTGGTTTATAATCGTTCAGCGGGTCCAGAAAGAAACATTTCTGGTTTGTTGACCTTGGTAAAACGCTTGCGTTTCTGGTAATATTCTGGTAAACAGAATTTCCCTCCACCATATTAAGGTTCAGTATTTCTTAGAAGCGCCGCAATCAAGCAACTACACCCCGAAATTACTGATTACGGTAAGAAAAGGAAAACAAAGCTACTCAGTGTGAGCGAGCAGAACCTGTCAAATCTTAAGAAGTAGTATGCCTCTGAGTTCTACGTATTGTTACCTTGAATTGCTCGTTAGAAATTATTGTGGCAGCTGTCATCAACTTTGGCAAACATTTACATTTAGTAATGATTATTCATCTCTCTGGTGCATGGAACCTAGGAAATATTTTCTTGATTTCATGATGTTAGAACATATATATTTCTTTGCCATAACTAAAGTAAACAATCTCTTTGATTTTACTTTCAAAAATTACCGAAAGGCTCCATTGAATTTGAATTAAATTTAGCGTGGCCTCAGGACTACATTTACTAAACTTTTGTGGCGTCATAACAGGCAGTGTTAATTTCAGTTTACTTAATGATTGACTAGTTCATTAAATACATATCTTTCTTCCGAACGTTTTCAGTTCGAATTTTAATTCTTTTAAGTTCCAAGCTCATGAAAAGGATTATTGTCAGATATGAAGCATTAAGTGATGAGATCTGTTATGAGTACATTTTACCAGAGATTTCATGATGATCATTCCTTTCAGTCAAGCTTTTCAATACAGGCCAAATAAAATGTCTCTTTAAAGGTTCTTTATTGTTATTATAATGTAGACTTTCCTTAATTATTTTTTTACAAGGATGGTAAAAATTATCTTAGAAGCGAAGAAATTAATATTTCAAAACCCAATTTGGTAATATATGTCTATTTGAAACTACAACACGTCACGTCGTTTTCAGGGTAATATTACTTTTTAAAAGTTTTAAACTCGCCAATAAATTTAACTTTCAGACTTGAGACCTTAAATCTATCGAAAGCTTTTGACCTCGCCGGTTCCTTTATAGATTAAAATATTTACGTGCATTCTCGATCTCTTCAGTATTTAAATTCAAGCCAAAATAATTAGTGGAATTAAATATTTTATTGTTATTATAATGTGTACAAGCTGTTGATAAAAGACGGTTGTCATTTATCAAACGAACAAGTTAGGAATTATGAAAATCCAATGGTTCATTAACTTGAAAAATTCTGTTAGTTAATCGAGGTTGTCAATGAGTACTTCCTTGGCCTATAATTGCTTCTAAAGGCAATTTGAACAGATGCATTCATCGTCTTGAAAGGGAGACATTGTAAATGGTAGCTCAAAACTACTGGGGATCTTCTTGAGAGAGCAATGTTTAATTAATGTTACCCTCAACAACCCAAATGTTTAATTTTCAATACAGGCTTTAACGTGTTGTTAATCACGCAGGCTGATTCCGTCGCAATGTAAGATAATTCAAAACAAAACAATGATAATACTTCTATTCACCTCTATTAATTTCAGCTTAGGATTGAGAATTACCTCCCTTCAGGAATACTTTCATCAGCACAATGCTATTTCCGTCGAGAATTACTCTCGAGGTATACGTAATTCCTTGAAGCAATGTTTAAGGCAAGACCACGCAATTCCTCTTATTGAGAAGGTATGTGTAAACACAGAAGCTATTGTGAATTTTGTGTGCTTCAATCGCGAGATGAAGAAAAAACCGTGACTGCCCCAATGGGGATCCAATCTGCGATGCGATGCTCAAAATCTTTTGGTTGAATGCTCTAGTACTCAGGAAATAAAGAAGCTATCTTGCACACTTACTCTTAGGAATGATGCTGAATTCGAAAAATTATTGCCAAAGAACCGCTTACATCGTCCCTGAATTCGTAATTGACCACATCAACACAAATAGAGTGAAAAAACTTCCTTTTTAGGGCTATGGCTACAAGAACTAAGAAATACTGTTAAAAGTTGTACATCAAACGAACTATTAATAAGAATAATGATAAAAAAACCGACACTGCTGAAAACATTTAATTCATGTGGCAATTCACATAGAACTATTTTCAGTTCAGCGATTTCATTTTTAAAATACAAATTTTCCAATGTCGCTTGAGTTGTTCAATAAGGGATACTGTGAACAGTAACATGCCTACAAAAATTAATATCTATAAATAGCGTTGGACTCCGAGAAAAAAACTACATTTCTTCAATCAAGGAATACCCTTATATGGAGCAAAATGAACACGCGAAACATCAGCGAAACCTTTTCTTTCGCTCAGCCAGTCAATGAGCAGCACAGGACATATCAGTGTACCACTCATGGTGTTCATTCAGTATTCATAGAAACCTCCGTGCTTTTCGCTTTGTGCTGCTCTCTTTTTCCCGCTTCCTCTTTCCTTTTTGTTTGATCTCAGGTTTCAAATTTCATACCATTAGTTACTATTTTCCTAAAATACCAGTATTTTCTTTAAATGTCTCGGTCATCCATTTTCATCTCCGAATCTAAATACCAATTATCCGTATTGCCTTCCATATATTTCCCATAGGTCTAGCTCTGAAAATTTTCTCTAAAATAATAGAAAAATTTCTATTTCTAGTTTAGATTTTACTCTCTTCTTATCAACTCAGTCAAAAAGTATTGCATTGGTGAGGAAAAATTCCTTTTTCGTCACACCTGAGAATGAAAGTGTTATCAACTGGTTTTCGTGGATTTCCTGGCTTTCTTTCTCTCTTTGATTTCAAGCGCGTACTCGTCAGACACCTTATAGGTCTTCTCTGTCTCTAGCAATGTCTTCATCTTTTCTATTTCCAGTTGTAAAGATCGATTTCGAGTAGCTTCTCGCCTTAGCTTCTCCTTGAGCTGATCTACCGAACCCTCCTTCCATTGCAGAGCATAGAATGCAGCTTGAATGGCTACCAGCAGTGTAATTAAGTACGATTGAAGAGCGAGGGAAATGGCTAATGTTGCACAGTTGACAGCAAAAAGCGTCATTGACTTCCATTGAAAGCGTTCTCTCTTTTTAGGGCGCTGTGGCTTTTCTTTTTCAAGCTCTCTTTTCTTTTGCTCTTCTAGTTGATCTTCGGCGTAATCAGCTAACTCTTGTGCGGCACTGCACAAGTCATCCGTCATTTCGTCGTCTTCTTCATCGTCGGCATTGATCTCTTTCAACGTTTTTATCATAGTGTTGTAGAATTTTGCTCTCGCTAAAGCCTTCTCTTCGGCTTTGGACCTTACGGCAGCCTCAAGCTCTGTGACTTCTTTTGCTTTAGGAGCTTGTTTTGAAATGATGTTTTGCATTCCTTCCATCTCTTGCAGCTGCCAAATAAGCTTCGCCAGAGTAGTGCGTTTTTCCTTCCTCTCTTGCTTTTCTTTTTCTATCTCTTTCATGAGCATGTCAATTGCTGACTTCTGGGACTTCACAACTTCAAACTGTCTATCTAAGAGCTCGGTCATGTCATCCATTTCTTCGTTTTGCTCGGCAAAGTTTTGTCTTTCGTTGCGTAATACTTGGGACACCCTCCGTTTGGAGTACCACGCATTCGCGGCGACAGTTATCAAAACGAAGAATATCATATACGGCGCTAAGAAATGATAACCGCCCAGCTGACAAAGTAACACAGAAACTGCAATGCAAATAGGAAGAACAGAGATAGGCAAGTTTAAAGTTTTAATTCCATCTTCTCTCGCCTCTTCAGAAGTAGTTTCGAGCTTCTCAAGCTCTGAAATTTTGGCTTTTCTATCATCCATTTCTTTTTCACGCAGTCGTTTCATATGATCAATCTCCTCTTTCAACATTTTGTACTCCTCGTATCCCCTCTTCATTTTTTCGGCCTCGGAAAGTTTTGTTTTCTCTATCTCCATTTTCATTCTGGATTCAAAATCTTCTGCTTCTAATTTCCTCAGCTTATTAGACACTTCCTCCTTGGTCGCCATGATCTCTTCACTTTCTACCCGCTTCGCTTCTTTGTCAGCAATTTCTTCTTCAAGTTGTCTCTTAAGGTCTGCAATTAAGGCTGTGTCTCCTTCCTGACGTAGTTTCATTTCCTCGATTTTTTCAAGAAGCTCTTTCTTTTGTTGATCCATCGCGAAAAGCTGATTCTTTAAACTTCCATCAGAGATATTAAGCACTGTCCTCTTAAACCGAGAAATAAACAGCAGAATCAAAACAGTGGTCAAAACACCAGCCATCAGGGTATTTGATACTTTTAAAGTAGCTGCAAATACTACGGCACCAATGAGGGTAACAAAAAGAAATAAGACAAACAATCTTTTCTTGCTAAAGGGTGAAATACTTCGTGTGTCATCCAGGTTTCTGTGAAGGACAGCGTCTGTTTCAAAACACGACTGTTCTTCGTCTTCCACAGAGGCTGACCCTGGGCTGATTTCATTGTCTACGGTGAGGGAAGCTTTCTGTGTCGTTCCCACCAAATCAGGTAGAGGCAATGACTGTTCAAGGCTGGTTTCTCTAGTCTGAGGAATAATTTCTTGAGACTCTCCCTCTGAATCTGAGGTTAGTTCGCCCTTGAAACTTGTCTCATTCTCTTTGATTTCCAACATTTCCTTTCCGTATCGGTTTTCGATGGATTTCAGTAACATCCTAAGTCGTTTAAGCTTCTTCTCTTTCTCGTCAATTTGCAGAGACAAAACGCCACGCAGGCTGCTACGCCTTTTAAGATAGCTCTTGTCATTTTCATTCGGCAATTTGGCGGTTTTGTCATTTTCTTTGAGGGTCTGGGCCATCTGCTGATGACCAGTAATTTCCTCCTGAAGGCAATCGATTTGTTGTTGAAGGTCGCTCACCATTTCAATCGCAGCACTAATATCCTCCTTGCTCTTTCGAGCTTTCTGTGCGTTTTTAACTGCGTCCTCTCTTTCTTTCTCTGCCTTCAATCCTTGATAGATAGACTTCATTATCTGAAGAGACAGTTGTAACTCCCTTAACTCAGCTTCTTTTTTGATCAGTTTGGATTTATATTCCTTTTTCATGTCTTGGATTAGTTTGTCTTGCTGTGACAAAGATAATTTTAATTTCTGAACTTCATTGTCATCCTTTACTATCATTGTTTTTTCTGGAGTAGGAGACGTCACTTTGTCCTTTAGCTCCTTAATGCACCTGTTTTTTTCATTCAACTCCCTTCTGAGATTTTTCGCCTCGGTCTGAGCATCTTCCACTAAAAACTTTTTCATTTCAGCGTCAGTTAAAAGAAGATGATACGACGACTGAAGCTTCTTTAGTTGGCTTTCTGCTTTTTCCGCTCTTTCTCGTATCTTCTTGTGAGAAAGATGATCACTTGTAATTTCTCCTCTTTCAGCCACTTGTTGGCGAAGATTAGATAACTCATTTAATTTGTAGTTAATGACTTTCTTTACGTTTTCCACCTCTTCTCTTAAACTGCTGAGGGCCTTATATCCTTCACCATGACAGGGAATTGCGTCGGTGGTGTCACTTCCTCTCATCTCTTGTACTTTCCTTTGGTCTTCAATGTTACTCAATTCTCCATCCAGCTGTTTTCTTAAATCTTTCACCTGATCAAAGGTCTCTCTTGTAAAGTAGTCTTTTTGTTGGTGAAGGGTCTTTAAGGTCCTAAGCTCCTTGTCTAACTCTTCAATCTTATCTTCTTGCACTCCACACAAGTCTCGTAGTTTGATGATTTCCTCTTGCCGTGTTCGATTCTCTCTCAACTGTTCTTCGTATTGTTGTGTAGCTACATGTAATCGCTTATATCCCTCGTTCAACTTGTCTTCCAGTGATTTAACCAGCTCATTTTGATCCCGATTTAATTTTTGTTGCTCAGCTAATAAAACTTCAAAAGATTGGCTTCGGATTTGTTCGTTTTCCAGCTCATCTCGAAGCTTCTCAGAATCTCTTTTGCTTGTGTGGTTTTCGCTCTCGAAGAGCTTCATTCTATCTTTGGTAGCTCGCAGCTCAGCGACCTTTTCTTCGTTCAATTTTCTTTCATCATCAAATTTCCTGTTTGCTTCCTCTAACAGCATCTCTTTCTCTTTAAGTCTTCTTTTGCGTTCTTTTGACTTGAGCTTGACGTTTCTTTTCGTATCTCTTCCTGCCAATATTTTCCCGAAAAGGTTGTCATAGGGACTGCTCTCCACTGGATTTAATATACTTTCCTGAGCCCATACGGAAGGTCCAGCACCTGATTTCAAGTCTTGCGTACGCAGTTCCTTCTCTTCGTCAGTAGAACTTTGACTTTCTTCCATATCTTTGGTGAGTTCATCTGCTAGCTGTGATAGCCAGAAATCTCTTTGTTCAACGGATCTCTGCAATTCTTGCCTTGAAGCGTCTCTCTCCATAACGTTTAATTTTTCTGCTTCAAGCATGGATTCAAGTTCTTCAGCTTTCTTTGCTTGAATTGCGATTTTCTCCTCTACTTCATATTTCATCTCCTCGGCGAGTTTTCTTTCTACTTCCCTTCTGCTGAACTCGTCCTCACGACTGGTCCTTAGCAAGTCATGTAAATCGCTGTTATTCCGCTTTTCTGATTCTAGCTGACCCTGCAGTTCCTCTTTAGTTATGCGCTCATTAAAGAGTTGTCCCTCCAACTCAGTCAAAACGTTGTCGCGTCGGACAGTCTCATTTCTCTCCTGGTGAAGCAATTCATCGAGCTTTCGACTTTGCTCTCGTTCTATCTCAATAGTTCTATTGAGCTCTTCGAAAATTTCACTGTCTTGTGCTACTTGAGACTCCAATTCATGCACCTTATCCCGAAACATCTGATTTGTCATTTTTTCTTGGTCGTGTTTTTCTGCAATTTCACGATTCTTCACCACCTCGACATCAACTTTGTTTCGAAGTTCCTGGAAGAGGAGTTCATCCTTCGCATTTGTTTCTTCTAGTTCCTTAATTCTCTCCTCCATTTTGGCTTTTGTAAACCTTTCACTTTCTAAATTTTCCATAAGACCCTCTGTTCGTTTTCTCTCTGCTGCTAAGTCGGTGACTAGACTACCAATCTCTTCTTCCTTCTCTCTGTTTAGTTTCTCTGTTCGTTCTAACTTTTCCAAGATCTCGAAGAGTTTTTCGTCCCCTTTTAAGCTGTTATCTCGCAAACAGTCTATCATTTCTCTATCAGAACTTATCACTGATTCTGTCTCTTTAAGTTTTTCCTCCAACTCCACAATTCGATTCTGCTCGCATTGCAATCTTTCCGACAGAATTTTGTAACACTTTCGTTCTGTTTCTAAATCGGATTTAAGTTCATGTATTAGTTTTTCTTTCTCTTTTGCGTCGTCTAATTGCTCTCTTAATTTATTTTCCGATTCATACACCAGATTCTTGTCCCTACACAACAGTTCCTGAAGATTTTCCTTAGTTTTCCGCTCCTCGGAAAGTTTTGATTTTACTTTGTCAAGTTCTCTTTCGAATTCCGACTTCAAAAGCTGCTCAAAAGACAATTTTTCTCGTAACTGTTTTGTTAGCTGCAGTTCTTCTTCCAAAGTATCCTTAGACTCGCTTAACTTATGCTGTTCTTCATTTATTCGGTCACACAAATGTTTCATGGCCTCCTCTCGTTCAACTCCGCGAACTTGTTCTTGAGTCAGAGCTTCACTGAGTCTAAGTGTTCTATCTTCCGCCTCTTCGATAAGCTTACGTAGCTCCTCACTTCGCTCGGACTCCATCCTTAGTTTTTCTTTGAGGTTTTCGATCATATTTTCTTTCATTACCGAGTGGTTTCGCTCTATTTCTAGGCGCTCGTTCAATTCAAACACTTGATTTTGTTCCTTTTCTAAAAACGATCTCAGCTCGTCTAAGACATCACCTTGCTTTAACATATCTTTTTCCAGTTCTTTTATTCGCATTTCTTTTTCTGATTTCTCCGCTGCAGATTGATCAGCCGTCTTTTGCACCTCTTGCTCAGCTTGCACGCGAATTTCGTCCAGCTTTGTCTTGCTTTCTTGAAGACTGTCTTCCATTTCCTTCATTACTCGCTCTTGTAAGTCAAAATTTCTCTCTTTCTCTTCTGCCAGCTCTTTTTCTAGCCTCTGAATTGTTCCTTCAGTTTCGCGAATTTCCAATTGCACTGTTGTAATCCTCTTCTCTTTCTCCTTAACTTCTTCCTCTAGTTGCTGAATTTGATCATGAAGCCTCTGTTTTGCCATTTCCTCTTGTTGAAGACTGATAACTAAATGATCAATCTTTACCTCGCTCTTCGCTACTGCCGCTTTCAGTTCATCTCTTTCAACTTCCCACGGTCCTCGTTTCACCTTTTCCTCTTCCAAGTTGTCTCTTATCTCTCTCATGATTACTGAAAACTCAATATTCTTCTTGAATACTTCATCCAGCTTTGCTTGCAATTCTTCGATCCTTTGAGCTTCTTCTGAAAATATAGTTTCTAAAAGCTCTTCAAAGTGTGATAACTGCTTGCTTAACTCATGCTCAGGCATGAGTCGAACAAGTTTAGTAGGACTTTCTGGCCTGCCACTTACTGAATCACCGTCTTCGTCCGGTCCAAGCTCGCCACTCAACTCCTGGTACCTCTTCCTAATTTCTCCGAGCTCTCGTTTCATGTCTTCTACAAGGTTATCGTACTCTGCAGATTTTCCCAATAGATCATCCATATTCTTCTCTTGATTCTTTGTTCTGTCCGTCTGAGTTCGCAATTCGGCTCGTATGCTCTTGCTGGTTTCCTCTACGGCACTCATGCTAGCCTTAAGCTCCCTGATAAAAGAGCTATGAGAGGCAAGTCGCTCGTTGATTCTTTTTACTGAAACATCAGAAGAGCCCATGCGGTGAGACTCGTGAGAGCCAGGAGACATGCAGTGTAAATGCCGATTGATCTTATCTACCTTTCCTTTAATGTCGTTGACAGTTTTCTGATATTCCTCGACCCTACGTTTGAGATCCTTTGTGGCTTCCTTCTTTTCCTTTGATTGGCCTTTCTCAGATGATAGCAGTTCTTCAATGGTCGAGGCGCGCAGTCTCTCCTTTTCTACTTGCATTTCTAGGTCCCTGATCAGTTTTTGACCGTCCTCTACCTTTTTTGCCATCTCCTCAGAGTGTTCAAGCTGCTGCTTGGCCTTATCTTTCATGGCTTGTAGCTGTGCCGAAAGCTCTTCGTTTCTGGCGAGATCTCTGTTGCTGGCTTGATTTAACGTCTTGATGAGATTATCCCGGTCTTTTACATGTCTCTGCTCTGCTCTTAGTCTGCCGCGAAGGTCTTCTACAATCTCCTCTACTTTAGAGAGTTCACTTCGGAGGTTTTCCTGTTTCTGACGCTTGTACTCTTCTTTCTTAGCATAAAATTCTTTCCTGGTCTCATTTGCCTTCTCTGTTCCTACACCGTCTGATTCATCAGCATCTGTTATTTCGTCTTGCAAGTTCACCATTTCCTCTAGTTGTTGTATCATTTCCTCGTACATGATATTTTTCTCCTTTTCGCCTTCTAGAATCTCCAAAAGTTCTTGTACTTCAGCTTCCCGTTCTTCTAGTTCCTCATCAAATTCGAAATCTTCACACCCTTCAGAGCGGTCACGGTTCAAGCCAAGCCCTTGTTCAAGCTGTTCAACATGCTCGGCCACTCTCTCCTTTTGTTGGACCCCTTCTTCATCAGTCCCGAGTATGGATGCTTTGATCCTCATCACATTGCGCATTCGTTCAATTTCATCCTTGAGATACCTTATAATCTCAGATTTTGTCTGATTATCCATTTTTGACAGCCCTAACTGACCTTTTAATTGTGATAATTCATCCCTAAGCCTCTGCTCCTCAACAGCGTAGCTCGAGACAAGTTCTTCGATACCAAGTTCTTTCTCATTGACATTTTCTTTCAGTTCTTCGATGATGTTGAGAAGCTGCTCGTTTTGCTTCTCCGCTTCCATTATGTTTTCGATGGAGCTTGATTTGATACCTTGGTTATACTGATTTAAAGCATCGGCTTCTGAAAGTTGTTCCTCGAGTTCTTGGATAACGCGTTGACTTTCCAAGTTTTTCCTACGTTCCTCCTCAATTTCTTCCTTGAGTTTCGAAATTTCGTTTTCTTTGTGAACACATTTTTCTCTTTCCTTTTGCAATTCATTCTCGGCCAGTTCAGCCACTTTTGTAATTTCGCTGTTCTCCGATTCTGTTAGATATATCTTCTTTTCAAGCATATTACATTTTAATGAATATTCATTCTGAACTGTGCGCTCCGAGTCGAGATTAACCAAAGCTTGCTTCAGCCTTTCCTCCTTTTCCAGCAAAGTTCTGTCTTTTTCTTGAAGAATCCCTGACAACAAGTTATTGTTTTCTTTAATCCACTCTAATTCTTTCTCCACGCCCTCTAGTTTTTCTTTAGTGTCTTTTAGTTCTTCTCTGATATTTCTTATCTCGGTCTCCTTTTGTTGTAATGCGTCTTCGTTTTGAACCATTCTGTTCTGAAGTTCCATGATACTTTGCTCATTGCTTTCGTTTCTTTGTCTCTCAGCTTTTAGTTTTCCTTTAATTTCTTCGTAATCGCTTAATTGAGAGCGAAGTTCTTCGATTATTTCCACTTTTTCTTTAATGGTATTCAGTAAGGTTGCGATTTCTTCTTGTAGAAGCTCTATCCGCCTAAGGCCAAGCTCACTTTTAGTTTCCTCATCTTCTACTTTATGTTTAAGTCTAGAAACTTCCATTTCCATATCAAAGTTGGCCTTCTTCTCGTCACTGATGGCTTCCTGGAGCTCCCCTACTCTCCCTCGTAGTTCCATTACTCTTGATCTTTCTTCACTAATGTCTTCATTCAAAGCTTTATTTTGGGATTCTAGATCTGCAGCCAGTTTTTCATTTTCGTCCAGTAAGTTACGTATTGTATCAATCAGTTTTCCCTGCTCCTCCTTCCCTTTCTCCTCGACTTCAATTCTTTGCAACAGCTTCTCAATTTCGTCTGCATTTTCGTGGTTACGATTCTTCTCCCCTTTGATTTCACTTTCTAAATTTTCGATATATCCTTGATTTTCTTCTAATTTTTTCTTCAGTGTCTGCACCAATTTGTTTACACGACTGTAGTCGTTGGTCTTGTTGTCCCCTACATCTTCCTCATCATTGGCATCATTAAGGACCTCTAGTTCCCTTTGTAGTTCAAATAGAAGTGATTCTGCATCTTCTTTATCTTTTTCTCCTGCTAGTAACCGCTCCCTAAGGGATTCAATATCTTCCTCTAATAGCTTTGTACGATCCTGAAGCATTTCAATCTTCTTCTGGCTGAGGTCGTCTGCTGATTGCAGTTCATACAGTTTTCCTCTGAGCTCGTCTGCTTCCATTTCCTTTCCAAAAGTAGTGCGTTTTTCACAGCTTAACTCCTCGCGAAGTTCTTTCAGTTTCTCTCTCAAGTCTTCAGTAATGTCCTCATGCAGAGTTTGATTTTCAAGAATTGTCTGTTCCGCCTCCAACAATTTTCCACGCAAAAGTGAAATCTCGTCATCTAATGTTTTATTGTGATTCTTTAGCCTCTCTATTTCACCTCTCATCCTATGCATTTCCTCCGTCAGGTCTTGTTCGTTAGACTTCAGGATCGTCAGCTTGCGACCATATTCTCTTGCAACCTCAGAAGCTTTCCTCCAAGCATGTAACGAGTGAGAAAGGTCCTCGACATTTCCTTTGGTATACAGGCTCAATTTTCTCTTCTTTCCCTCCTTAAACTTTAGGCGGACAGTATCAAACCAATCGTCAACATCTTGTTTCAAGTCTAAAAACTCTTTGCGACCTTCTCCGGTAGACAGCGACGCGGTGTCTATGTTGAGAGCCTGCTCAGTGAACTTAGGTATTTTTTCTTCCTCAACGCGGACATCGTCTAGGATGGCATCCAACTTCTCCAGCTTCACGGTAAGGTCTTGGGATCTCAAGGTAAGCGATTCACAAAATTCTTCAAACTCAGCTTGAATTCTCTCTCCTTCACTGAACGATCCCCTCAACTCATATAGTTTTGAAAGAATTCCCTGAAGATGCCTCGCTTCATTGTGATACTTTTCTGAAACCTCCTCCAGGTGTTCTTTCTTTTTCTTTACCTTTTCTCCGATGGTCTTCACCTGTTCAAGAAGATTTCTAACTAATTCTTCAGCCCCTTGTGGACTTTCGAAGTTTTCGGCACTTTCGTCTTCATCAGCCATGCCAAGTTAGTCTTTATGATTAGCTCGTCTGAAATGACAAGAAATTATATAGACTATCAAACTGTGATAGATAAATAATTCACCCCAACTCTGAGCGTAAGTGGTCGTTACAATAGCGTCTCGCTTCGGTAGGATAACTAGAACCGATTTTTGGATTAATAGGACTCGTTTTCATTTCATAAATAAACTTGATTAAAAAAAAAAATTCCGAAGAAGACTCGGGCAGAGAAATATGTACAATAACGGAGAGTTAAAACCATACCATTGGATCGAAAGGTACCACCATTTTGAACCTTATTCTAGATTATAAATATAAATTAAATTAGGTGAAGAGAATAAAATACGAGATGAAGATGTCACCTAATAATGAAAACTTTGATGTCAACAAGTTTACATCGTTGGTTTATGGTGAACTTAACGAGGAACACAGGAGTGTCAATACACAACTGAGTCTGATTTTGTTTACACCACGTTGCTGGCTATAAGCCGAAACCTTATGTAAATAAAGAACCGCCAATTTGACCAAGCAATGACAATTTTGAATTTACATTGGGAATGATGGAAAGGTGTCAATGAAACACGTCTTTCATATGAACAATAAAATCAGTTACAAATCAAACGATATATTTGAGTAAGTTTCCTGGTGGCAGTGAGTCGTTTCATTTTGTTTAGTTATTAAACTTATCCCAAGAGGGATAAGGCTCTTATTGTGAAGCTATTATAAAGAAAAAACACCTGTCCTTTTTACAGGTACCAGCATCACTGTAGATCAATACATTGTGTGATAGGCTATAGAGTGGCATTCTAGAAATATAAAGCGTTCCAAAGTAACCAAAACACTTCCTAGAATTTCCTTTCAAATGAACATAAATATATCTACCCATTTGATTATGTTACATGCGTAGGCTTCCTCTCTTGTTTAAGGTGTTCATGTAATTGGGTTTTATTCACTTGAATACCGAGACGTATTTGGAAGATGTAGTCGAAGATTTCGTTTTGTTCTGGTAAGTTTCATAGAACAAACTAATCCTGTCCAATAATTTTAAGTTGGCCAAATGGAGATGATGTATGTGGATTGAATTACTGTTAAGAATAAAGTTATTTTAAAAAAGCGTCATCTTACAAGGTCCTTGGTGATTACAAATATCCTAATATCTGTCTGCTTGGCGAGATGACAGCTTTATATGACTTCATAAATGACTTCATTGGCTCGGCAAACACGGACTATAGCGGCTGTCGCTGAATGATTGCGTTGCTACATATTAAGGACAATGAGACTTGTCCTTATGTTGAAAGCAGTTGAACTAAATTTGTAAATCCTCCGATACAAAACAATGAACTGCAGCCAATAGCACGGGAGCTTTCAGCTATTAATAGTTAATACAAATAAAACGAAGCCTTGCCATTTTTGGAGATGTGGTTAAATCTTAAATTCATAAAGAAGAAGCACAATAGTGCGATTTTGGAACTGATAGAAGCAAATCAGGTAACAGAGTAGTCATTTGATTTATAATGACTAGAAAAGCTGCAAAAAAAGATCAAAATCCCGTACCAGGTGGATTCAACTATGGGCTTTTGGTAGAATTTATTATTTTCCTAATTTTGCAAGGATTTGATGTGTATTGTAACTATGGCGTATATTTCGAATCCTCAAACTCTTTGGCTTCATACGAAGACCTGAGTACGTCTCTCTACGGCTCCAATACAACTAAGGCAAGAGGAGGGCTAAACCTCACACGCAGTCCCCTGGGATTTTGTTCAAGCTCCACGTTCAATCAAAAGAAAACAATTGAGTTATTTGAACAATTTGGGCAAACCCTGGATATTTACTTTGGCTTTACAGTCTTAGCCACGATCATCTTCTGTCTCCACTTCTTGCTGTGGGTTGCAACTCTTATATTTTCACTAATGGAAGCCGACTTTCTCCAAGAAAACTGGGATATATTGGTTAAGGGAAAAATAGGTTTTACACTAGCTGCAAACTTTGTGCAAGATATTCCTTGCTCAACAATCGCCATTGAGCTCTATCTGCTGAGGAGAGGCACAAATGGCCTTATTTGCTGGCGATGCTCCTTAGACCCATTGTGCACAACTGAGGATTACCTGGAAACGCTTCTAGGCCCAAGCTCCAATGCTTTGTTTCTTCTCATCGTAGCGATATGCTTGACAACCCTATGGAAAGCTATTTCATCGTTTTTCCGATGGAGCCGAGCGGAGCAATGCGATGTCTTCATAATTCGTGCGACGACATCCTTGTTTGCAGGATTTTTGTACGCCTGCATCATTATGACCCCAGCTATGACGATTTTAAAATATCGGTATTTTACCCTTCCAGGTGTGACACCAGGATTTATTTCCGATTTAATAGATAAGCTGTTTATCATAGGAGCTCTTTTCTGGTCGGTTGGTATCTTGACTGTTTGTTGTTGTCCATTGCTTCGTTTAATAAGACTCGCACAATAGCTGTTTAGACTGTTGAAAACATGGTGTTCACGTATCCTCAATATCTCGGTACATTTATAGGATTCCATGCTTTTTATAATTGTATAGGGCTATGCCAGATGTCTGAATAACCAACCCTTCACTGAGATCAGAATAAACTTTCATATTCCAAACCTATATCTTGGCATAGGAGATATTACTGCCTTGATTGTAAAGATTTCGTTTTGAATTTTTAATAAACTGTACTAAGTCACTGAAACAATGAAGTGGTTAGTTTGTTGGTCAGTGGATTTTGATTTACAGCTGTGTTCATACCCAAACATATTCGAACTTTTGAAGAAACGCTTTTCCTAAATTACCTATCGAATCCAAATCAGCGCAATGAGTAAGCTGCCCTTACGAATATTATATTTGAGGCAATTTTAATTTTCTCATTTTTTGGTATCAGTCTTCACGTCTAAATTGATCTATCAGTTGTATTATTCCCTTGAAATTTTTTTCGGCAAAGCTCTACCTCCATGAAATTGTTGCTCTTTTTTCTTTGAGTCTATCAAATGCCATCAACAAAAACACCCTTGAGAGTGACGAAACCGAAAATTAATTTCTATTTCATTACAATCTATCGCGGCCTCACAGTTTAAATAATTCCTTTTACTACTATGTAAACTCAAATTAATGTTAGCGAACCCCTCGCCAATTCTGGGATAAAAATTGCAAAATCATGAGGCTTTTTCAGCTAAAACCACCATTTTAGATAACGGAAAAGGGTTGGTCTCGTTGTCAAAGTCTAGTAGAGTATAAAACAGCGTTGGTAGTCTTTAATGTATAAATATTAACAACAGGATGTGTGACTACAATTAGAAATCATGAATATTTTTGCAAATCAAGTACAGAATTGGTCTCGCATTCCATAATAGCAACAAAAATTTCATCATACAATTCTCAAAAGAGAACTTTCGTTTCTTATTCTTTAAATATCCTATGAGCTTCAGTTCTTAAAAGCTACTCGTTCATAAAGTTTGATCTCTCAAGTCCTTGCTGTCAGGTATTTTTGCAATAAAGCAGCTTTGGTGAAAGAAACTGATTGATTATTAGATATTTTCCTTCATAAGAGAAAATTTTCTGATCATTTCATGAAAACCTCTGCACGGAAATGGAGTGAAAAAAGACAATAGAAAGTCGATTTGAAATGATTTTGAATAGCGACTAGCAGCTTTTGAATTCGTTGCTTTTGGTAATTATGGTTGCCGTTTTATTAAGTGTATCTGAAATCAAACTATTTTCCTCTGAATTCAAAATTAGGCGCAAGAGTATTTTGTACTTTAAGAATCAGTCCAAATTCATTTAAGTTAATTTTCGAAATATCGTCGGAAGCTTTGTTTGTTGGCAGAAGCTAATTCACAGTTGTAATTATGATGTGAGTAAACCCACTTCATACGTTGAATGAATGTGTTAAAATTTAAGGAAGCAATCACTTCAACAATAACCTATAGAAAAGTGAACTTTTACTTACCTGGCAGTTTAGGCAAAAAGAATTTACGTCATGATGTGACCTCCGTACCTCTCACGAGTTGCATCAGCTGTATCTAGAAATCGTTTTGAAACTTGAGAGGGAAATTGTCCACTACAAATGAAGGCGTCTTGGTTATAAGTACCTGTAGATTCAAACCAAATTGTGTATTTGTATAGTATCCAAGTCGAAACTGCGAAATCTATTATTTATGGCCACCAGTAATCGAGAATTCTTCGTTCAATATTTTTCCGCCCCCCAGCAGTGAAATGCAATTTTGACCTATGAGTAACGCGCAAAAATGTCTGTAAACTGTCGACAGCAAGAAATGCGTTCAGAGCACTTTGATATCGCGAAGCTATGCTACCATCATTTATTTACTTCAGTCTTAATTGTTTCAGAGAGCATCTGTTTATTTTTGATATTGCGGTTGAGTACACAGAGCAAAAGCTGGCAAAACGGTTTGTAAACTACATTTTGTGTAAATACTGATATTTTTCTCTTTTCATTTTTTTTCTTATTTTTCTCTTTTTCGACAAAGCGGTAGAAAGCGATTGTAAATATCAAAAGTCAATTTTTTCTGACATCGATACGTTGTCATATTGTTCAAATCAAATTAAAAAAAAAAAGTCTCTGTTTGTTGGCCAGTCCGAATTAATAGGTGTTTTATGCAAACAATATCTCATAGCTGACAAGTTTCTTGATTCTCATTAACCGCAAGGTTGACGGGGTAATAACATCGTCAGAAGGATCTATATATTTATCATTACCAGGAGTGAGAGTCTTAATGGAGCTACGTCACATCAGGAAAAATGCAGCCTAAATTATTCTTGCTTTAAGCTCTTCATGTGCAATCCGTTATATTTGCCTTCATCTCTACAGATCCACATGTCATAAAGGCTTTTCCCAACCCTATGCGGAGTTCGTTTACCCCACGTAACTATTATTTTGATTTCCATAGGTTTAAAGGGGAAGGCATAGCCTGCTCTCAAGCATTGTCTTTCACATTTACGGAGCTTATCTTGTAGAGGGGCATCGTAAGAGTGCAATACAACACAATCAGCCGACCAAGGCTTGAACCAGACATCTCGACTCAGTACAAAAATGTCGCACTAGGAAAAAATTCCATGGCGAAAGCGATCTCATTATCCATGCTTCCCAGTCAATGGCTATAAACTTGTCATTTTACCGAATTATTTTTTACTTGAAGTTACATAAAGCTAAATAGGGCTGTTTCTAATTGGCTGAGGGTTTAAATGCTCCGGTACCCTTTTGTGCCAGAAAAATGGTCACAACTTGTTAAGAAATAAATGGTAATTTTCTATGAAGCCCAAAGAAAAGTTCCTGTGGCATCAATCCAATAAAGCCGGAATTTGTTCCTTGCTATAAGGAAACCAATCCATTTTTTTAACTCGTCCAATAGGATCCTGCTTTACATAATGCGGGAAGAGAGGCGGTGACCTCGTGGTCAGTGCACTGAGCTCTTATCTGTTCCAGGAAAAGACCCTCACGTTGCCTCTTTCCTCCGTGAGGTATCAAAGGGTAACGGGAAGCTTTTAGGAAAACTCAAGGAGTTTCTGAGAGTTAAATGCGTTGGACTGGTATTGCTTTCAGGAGGAGTGCACCGTGGGTATGCTGTGGTCACTTGGTGCCAAAACAACAGGGATAAGCTTCCACAAAGGGGGCGACTTCGCTCGAGAGAGGGAGCCTATCGTAGCACAATATTTAAATTCAAACTCTGGAAATTTTCCAAAATCTTTATGTTACAGGAAGACCCTTTGCAAAATGTCTCTTTTCATCTGAGAACGTGAAGATACAGTAAGGGTAGTCCACCAAGATCCAGCATCCCATGCAAGAGGCTATATTTCTTGTTTGTCGATGCCACAGAAGCTGTTATAAACTTTGACAATCGGTGGCCGCAAGTCACTTGGGTCTTGTGCTGGACTGATCTCTACGTAAAACATAACATAATGAGCACCCACGACGCTCGCGGCTCCCAACCAAATTTTGATTGTTAACTTTTCCTAAAATCTAGGTTTCTTTGATCGTCACATAGAAGGAATACTCTTGACAACGCTACGTTGATAACTATCCCAAAGAGCTTCTTTCTGATTTTACCTGTGTGTCCTCTTAAAGTGCAGCTGGTATATATTGCTAAAGTAATAAATGGATCAGATTTTGTCACTGAAGAAATGATTTGACTCGGTTTCTGTTTGTTCTCTTGTTAACGTAGTTCAAAATGTATATACATAAGATTAAAATGAAGCATTTTTTTAACTTTTACAGGTTTTTGGTCTCAGAAATTAATAGAAAGGCGCGTTCCGTTGCGTAAATTTGCAAGACCTTACCAAAGAATACTAAATGCTAACTTTGCTTCTTTCAGAATCTTGGTTTGAATAGAATGATCATTGCGTTACTCTGATAAGATTCAACAACGGACAACAGACAATAACAGCAACAACCAAAACCCAAAATATGGCACCGATTATGTAGACTCTATCTATAACGTCCTCGAGCAATCCACCGTCTATTCCGATAAAGTAGCGATACCTGAGCACTGTCATGGCTGGCGTGAGTATAACGACGCAGTACAGAAATCCCGCAAATACAGCCGTGCATGCTCGCAAATAGAATGCTTCGCATGTGTCGATTCGGCTCCACCTGTAAAAGCTTGAGATGCCCTTCCAAAGAGAAGTGAGCGCAATTGCGGTGAAATTTAACCAGAGTGCCGTTGTGCCCCGACTCAACCTGCTTTCAAGCTGCTTCAACTCAGGACAAAGGCCTGAGACCTTGCAGAACCAGCAAACCAAACCTTGCTGGCCTTGTTGCAGAGAATAAAGCTCTGCCGAGATTGTAGACATTGGGATATCTTGCAGCAGGCTGGCAGCAATGAGAAAGTACACCTTCATCTTTACTAAAGTCTCTTGGGTGTTGGCGTTAAATCGTCGACTTCTGAAAGATAGTTGAAGCGTGTACAACCAAGCTAACAAATGCAAGGTGAAGATACAAGCAGACACGGCAAGGAAGAAACAATAGACGTATATAACGGACGAGAAATGATTTATCTCGTTACTGATCTTCTCTCTAGCCCACTGCACGTTAGCACAGAGGTCTGGAACTGTGTTGTTTATCGTGGAAACGTTGGGATATTTTTCGTATTTTTCAACCTTGTTAAGAACGCTAAGAGATTCATTTAAAACCCACGAATTACTGAATAAGTTGAATCCTTGTAGGAGCATAAAAATTATGAATTCTGAAAGTAATCCTCGGTTAACTCCTGCAACTCTCAATCCATTTGCGGATATTCCTTGAGCAGGGTTTGATCTTCTACTTCTCGGCTTCTTCTTTCCTTTACTGGATTTATCTTTTCTTAGTTTTCTTTCCTGTCGCTTCTGGAGGACGTCAGTGGCCACAGACTCTGCATATTCCCTGCTAGTAACTCCCGCAAATCGTACAGTTTTGGACATTGCTAAAAAGTAAATGTGCAATGTTTGTAAATCAGAAACCGTTGAATTCCCGTAGAACCTTCCTTTCTAACTTAATTTCACCAGTTTGGCTATTCTTCACTTTGCTTCGTAGAGACGTCCTAGATCTTTGTCACTCAAAGCCTGTAGGCGATGCAAAAACGTTCCGAGGCAATGAAAGATGTTGACCACGGATGACGTTTATGCCTGCTCAAGACCACATCAAATTATTCAAATGTAGAGTTTTAAACGATTTTCTCTCTGACATGGTACAGCGCTTGAAATAATTTTGTCACTTGTAGCAGATGGAGCACCTGGCTTTAAAACACCAATAGTTTCTTGATCGTTTTGTGGCAAGTCTCAGCCCTATCCCAAGAGATGTAATGTCCACAGTAAAATCAAGTTATAGCAGATATCTTTGAGAGCAAATCAACTTGACATCTTGATAAGGGGTTACGTTAAGGAAAAACTGTGCTTGGTTTTGGCTGAGTTTGATATCTTTCCGAATATTTGCAAAAGCAGATCTGTCCCTTTTCATATTTAATTCATGTAAAGCTGATGCGAAGCGTAATATCTCTGTCCATTTCTGGCATGTGGCGGGTGGTACATTCGGAGGCAGTGTGCTCGATGAATATCATTGGTTAAACCCGTTCGTTTGGAATTCAAATGATCAGTTGTAAAGTGATATCACTTGGCAGCGTATCCTTGTATTTATTCAAGATTACTGTTTTATTTTGAGTATCTCAAAACAGATATATGTTCAGAGTCAACCTACTGTACCTCGGAATTTCAAAAGCAAATCATTCTTGTCAAGCGAAACTTCCAATAAAAATGCGTTTCGAAGAAAAAGAAAAAGTACTCCTGCGTGGATGAGAGGTTCAAAATCTACTGTTTGGTACATGAGGTTTTCTTCCCTCTTCAACTCGACTCGAGCGCAATTTTTCAACTTCTTCAGAAAATGTCGACAAACACAATACCATAAAGGGGCAGTAAAAAACCGAAAAGGAACACGGATTTCTATGATAACTTAAAAGTTCTTGGCTGAAGTTTTCAAGATGTGCAAACTGTGGCTCAACCCAAGCGACACTTTCACTCCTGTTAGTCAACATCACATAATTCTTCTAGCGATTTTGAAACTCTTTCAACAAGGCAGGTGATCAGAATTAGGAAAACTGTCAGTTAGGAGAAACCTTTCGAATACAACCTAAAGTTCTGGTATCAGTACTTGGGAGTCAAAGGCTTTACTGAACGGTCAAGTTCAGTTCCTTTGTATGGGTTAAAATTAACGATCTTTCAAAAGTCCTAAATTTAAGGTCGATGATTGTGACACTGAATAAGTATATTGACGAGAAGAAACTCAAAATCAAGCAATAAATCATTTTAATTGTCATAAGTTCTTAAATAGAGAACATTTCCAATAATCGTTCAAAGAAAGAAGAATCCAGCTTCTCGACTTACATAAGTAAAATGATTATCTAAGACGGCGAGCTGAAAAAGCTGGCATTTTACAAAAGCTTAGGGGACGGCTGGTTGTTGCATCAACAAGACCAAAAGATTTAAAATCATCCCCACTTTGTCGGGCATTGTGCGAACTAAAATGGAGGTTTTGGCGAGCAAAAATATATTTTAACCCGTTTTTGTTGTCTTTTTTCAGTGTCTGTTACTTCAATGCCCTTCAAACTGATAACAATAGCAATACACTTTACATACTTGGGCATAAATATGTTTTGGACCCCTTTCAGAGTCATTTTAACCCTTGCTAAGCTGCTCGAGTCAAAATGAATCTGAGTGGCCCACAACAATTTAATGCCCGCGAACATAAACTTTACTGTTGTATTAAACATAATAGAAGAACTAACATATATTTCACTTTATTTAAATATACACAGAAACAAGGCAATCTATGACTTCAATTTAAAATCTCACGTAGCTTACAATGAATTTATGCTACCCTAAATGTTAACAAAGAGAATTGATGAATATTTAAGTTAATTTAGAATGTACAATGTTGCTTCGTTGATATTTCCACCGCCCAACAAATAAGGCTTTGAAAATTAAGTCCAATCTTTAAATGTTGCTTCTAGTTATCATGCATTGTTAATGGGCCATTAAATCAAAACTGACTAATGCAAATACAAGGAAGCAAACTATAAATTCTAACTTGATTGCCCATGATTTTTTCCTTTTTCAGCAAAGTACTTGTTTTCTCTCAGTAAACTTCCAGCTAAAAAGGAATTTGATGGTCACTCACTACTTTAATCAATTTCGTTAAACTAAAAGACTACTGAGTATCACCTATTGTTTCGAGTTTACGGACTTTTTAAAACAAAGAATCAAAACCAAAAAAATTGATCTCCTCTTGTACATGTTCAAGCTTAAATTAGTCTACTGTACATTTATACAACATGTAATCTATTACCTGTTATTAACTACACGTAGGAAATGCTCTGCTATACAAAGGAAATCAGAAGCATTACACTACATTTATATCATCTCTACATGTACAGAGCACGTGAGCAAAAATATTATAACTGTCTGCAAGATTAGAAAATATATGACATCTACATTGTCTTGAGATAAACAAACAAGAAAACATGGGTAGAAGGATCTTGCCTGAACTCAGAGAGGCTATCTACAAGACAGCAGTAAACAAAAAAATTCTCTATTAACTCTTTCACCACCACAAGTGACCAATAACTAATTTCCCCTTACCATATCAATACAACATCAACCAGAAAGGTGATGAGAATATGGAAAAAGAACAACAGGAGGATGTTATTTGATTTAACCTTAAACTCCTGCAGGTGATCAATATGTAACTTCTCTCTCTGATATCCATACATTGTCGAGAAAACAGGTAATGAGAATACTCAAACTTATCTGGTAGGACTTGTTTTCCTGATCTAACACCAAATTCTTGCAACTAATATAAAAGGAATTCTGCTGCAGCTAGGGGGTGAACTAAAAATGAGATCTTGGGATTTAAAGGGTTGACACCAAAATAATTCTCTGAGCTACAATTATCAGGAACAAGTAGACATCAGAGAGGAGAATTTTAACTGAGATCTTGGGTGTGAAAAGGTTAGCAGAGTAATAAACTGAAAAGGAGAATCATTGCTCTAATTTAGGATTTGGTTTGAGCCATGATAACAATAAATTGTATGTTCTGACAATGACCTGCATGAGGGAAGGCCTGGAAAAGACTGTTGTCATTGGTAGTGACGGCTGCTTAAAAACCCTGAAAGGAAGTCATCACTAGAGTCAATCGATGATAAATTCCTCTCAGGTTGTCAAAGTACCCTTCTCTATCACCAACAGTTGTTATGTCCAGACTATCCTCACTGGCACCAGAAGACTCCACCATTAAGCATCCTAGTTTTGCAAATTCTGTGTCTCAACAAAGTAAAACATCATATAAGAAAATATGGGCACAAGAGACCTGCAAGAGACACTTACAACTTGTCCCAAAAATGGACAGACATCTCAATTCCCAAGACCATATCCATGAATGAACAGGGATACCAAACTTCCATCCTCAATACAGGTAAGTTCCTTCTACATTATTATACTCTTAGAATCTCCAAGTTGTTGTTGTAGCAGATGCCAATCCAGTCTGGCTGTGTGCTCGCCCACTGAATCTGATTAATCTCTCCGTCTGCAGTGTAAGCTAAAATGGGATCCTCAATGGCTCGTGGCATCTGTTGAATGTCCCAGATCAAGGCTTGGTGGTCGTCACCTTCAAGAAAGATTCAAACAAGCTATCAAACCAATAATGTGGAATTTATACATGTATACAGTTCATATCATATAGCCAACTAGTAACTGGCAGCAAATGGTTCTCAGTCATGGCAGACAGGCAGGCAGGCAGGCAGGCAGACAGACAGAAAATCAATCAGTTCATCAGACAGTCAGTCAGCCCATCTGCCTCTAAAAGAGTCTGCCAAACGGTCACCTAAGATCACAAAAAGGTCTCCCAATGTTTCCTTGGACATAATTGTTTTGCTTTTCCTGCCTGTTCCCTGACAGTAAAAGCTACACTTCATCAGTGTCACCACACAAGATGGTGTTTATCAGTTAAACATTTCTTTATTGCATTTAATTTTATGGCACATGTACAAAACATCAGCAAGACATCAAAGCCAGAAACTAACCTGCTGTACAGATATGACAAGATGAATGTGGAGCCCATGCAATGCCATTTACACAGGCTCTGTGGTTGTTTAACCTTGCCACTGGTGTGCATGGTACTCTAACATCTAATATTATCACCTGGGACAGATGATAGTCAGTATCAAAAGTAAGATTCATGGAGCTATGACATTTTAGAATTCTGGAGAATAATTATATTCTACTACTGTTAGTAATTGTGTAAAAAGATGCAAAGAGATATTTTCTTTGGTCTATGAAATTCACTCAAAAGTTTTTCTATATGCCCAAAATACTACATACATACATTGTAAGTACAATTTACCAGACATTTCTATGAGTTAACAGTTTAAGTGTGTAAAAAAATTAGAGCTCTTAGAGCCCAGTTGTTCAAAGGCTGATCAGTGCAAATAGTCTAGGTTAAATTTTAAAGTGGTTTTCTTTACTCCTTTGTTCAAAAGCCTTTATGGGATAATTTTCTCTATTGTATTTAGAGCATCCAATTACCAAATTGTAGACAAAAAATTTACTGAATTTTCTTTTAAGCTTTCTGATCTGAGATTGGATATCAAACTAACCCTGGGTTATCTTAACCCAGCTTTGAACAACCTTGGCCTGCTGCTTCATAGCGACATCAATAAGCAGCTGTCACTAGCACTGACAACAGTCCTTTCCAGGCCTCTTGAACAAGGATGAGTCATCACAACATGGGTACACAAAAACAAAAGAAACGCTACAGTAATGCAAGTGCAGCTGATTCAAGCACACATTACCTGAGGGTAATTATTCATTTACTATAACTTCCTTTTTATTTACAGACTATACACTGTCAACAAACCTCCATTGCATCCAAAGAGAAAGTTGCTAAATAGTTAGGATCCTGTTTGTTCCATGATAATCTTAACAAGGGACTGTGTTGTGGATCTTCATAGATTATTGTAGAGTGTTCTAAGTGCCTGTAAGAAAATCAGGTTTTTTACAAAACTTTATTGTATAATCTGATTATTTAACATGTACCAAAGAAATAAAAATAATTATATATTTTTCATCCTGTAATGAGTATGGGACAAAGAGTTCCTATAAGGAATCAAACAAAGGGTCTTTGGATTCCATGTTTTAATGCTTCTATAGAGCTACAGAGAACTCTGCAGTAAGCAGTAGGTGATTACTATTTTGAGTATTCATGCATAAAATGCATCATACATATACCAGTCCTATAATCTACATTCAAAAACTGAAATTAAAGAATATTAACCCTTTAACTCCCAGATAAAATTTGTCATTCTCCTCAGTGTCAACCACACAATTCTTATAACATTAGTTCAGAGAATTTAGTATTCGATCAACTAATTATCCCCAAACTGATATTTTTCTTTATTCTCATCGCTTATCTGGTTGATATTGTGTTGATATTGTAAGGAGAAATTCTGTCTTGGTCACTCATGGGTGTTTAAGGGTTAAGAGGTGAAAAAAAAAAAAAAATATATATATATATATATATATTGGTGTCTTTCACTCATGAAACTCACATTGTATCCATGAGGTGGGTTAGGAATAATTCAAAGTACAAAAATGAACATTTTTTTTCCAAAATAAAACTTCTTGTGATGTTTAAGTTCCTCCACAACATGACATACAGTACATGTACCCTGTACACATCATATAATGACAGTTGCAGTCAAAACAAGGCAGCATATACCATTCTATATGTCAAGTAAGAAAACAAAAAACACACACCTAAGATCAAACATTCTGACTGAACCATCAGCTCCAACAGAAGCAAACATGTCCCTTCCACCACCAGCACGACTAAAAGCAATATCATACACCTACAGAATGAAAAAGAAGATGTTACATGTATTTCAACTCAGTTACCAAGATCAGAATTTCTCACAGAACTTCACTAGATGGCAGGGCTGAATTTCTTTTCTGCTCTTGTTAAAAAAAAAAGGATGACACCAATTTAATACAACTTCCCTTTCAACAAGGCAAAATCATAACAAATGTGTTCCTTGCTTAGGATCTTTGCTTCTTAACATAATCATCCTACCTCTTTATCATGTGCAATAAGTTGAGTCTTGACATGTCCTGACACCATGTTCACCCTTCCAATAACTTGACCTGTCTATAAAAAACCAGCAGAAAAACAGGTCAAAACTGACATTCAAAACACACAAAATGCCTTGCTGAGTAAAATGACTCAAATCATTACAACATACATCTGTGCAAATCAAGAAGAGACTTGAGTGTGACCCATCTTTCTTCTATACAAGTCATACATTAAAAAATCCTGATAACATTTTACAGTTAAGTCATTTCCATTTACAATGCAACATTACAGTAAATGGTTTAGACCTTGAGGTATCACTTGATTGTGTACTTGTATTCTGATTGTCCATATGAGGGTAGTCCTGAGGAGGGCTGTTATCTTTAGTCATGACTAAAAATTAAACAGCCCTGGTGGAAGTCATCATCAGAGTCGCGAATTAGCATTATTACCTAACAAGGTCAGTCAGATTTTGCATATACAAGTAAGCCACTGCCATACCTCCAGTCCCCATATGGTACATGTTGTATCAATACTTGATGTCCCCAATAGATTTGGATCCACCTCATTCCAGTCAAAAGATGTCAGTGGAGCACAAAAATCAGAGTTCTTATTCTGTATATAAAGTATACATGTAGCATAACAAATGATAAGCAACCATTGCACAAGGTTATGCAAAATATCATGCTCTGTCATCAGAAAAGAAATCAGTTAGCAGTATTTAAGTAAAGTTGAGACTGAGGTAAATATTTATCTTGGTCTCCAAGAGACAAAGTAACCATAATATTGCACAATTAATAAGTGAGGTTGAGCATGATGTCACGAATTATCAAAACCAAGGTCTGAGTTATCTGCTGAAGCTAAAGGCTAAAGCAGAAAGCACAGACACGAGGTTGGAAAATTCATGATATTGTGTGAAAACTAATAAGTGTTTAATTATACATTCTTCAAGCAACTCTGCAAAAGAAGACACTTCACTCTAAGTCTGCAAAAGTTTGAGAACATTTCATGGATGATGGGCTTGGAAACTGGGCAGTCTGAACTCGACATAACAACCCAATATTTGGTGCAGATATTGGGTTATCATGTCAACTTTACACGCTATTGTACATTGACTGTATGCTCCCAACCAATCAGAGTTTGTCTAATGTATAATAATTAGCAATAGCCAAGTTCAATATTTGTATTATTATTTGGCTATCCAATTCATTTTCCAGAACACTTTCTGGAATTTCTCTTTGATAGCTTTAGGAAGCAATCAGCCATTTTCCAAGGAAGAGCATGAACATAATGTGCATGAGCAGAATGTTAGTGTAGCTACAGTAGATGGTGCAGTACATATGGATAGTTATGGTGGGCTCTTAGCCAATGAAAACAAAGCAAGATGCATCAAATACACAAAACACTTTATCACAATAATCCACATGTTGTTTTTTTTCCCTTCCTTGTATCAGACTCACAATCATTCTTTAACATCTGTCTTTATACAAACTGTTCACTAGCTAGGAAAGGTTAAAACTTCTTGACAGATCCAGACAGGTATTAAACTTTGGTGCGTTGTCTAATTCAGGAGTTCAACACTTCAGAAATGACAAACCAGCAAAAATGTGGCCTGTTTAGTACTTCTAAAGAACACTTACATGTTTGCAATGACCAAACAGTTAGTATACAACTCAAACAAAACTTTGTCTATTTGATAACATAAAAAACTCAGAATTCTTACATTATTCAGAAGACATTCCAGACGCACTTCAGAGTCACTGACCCTCCATACTCTAAGATAGTCTCCAGATGTTGCTACTAAATCAGGATAGCCACCCTTCTGTTGTACAAAGATATATGATACATGGTCATGCATTGTTTAATGATGTAGAGAAGATTGTTATTTCCTAATGGCTTAACATGTGTGTTGAATTTTGAAAGACTTATAATTGTAATTAATTTTATATCTACATAGCTTAAATTCCAAGAAAATTACAACTGAAATAAAGAAAAATACAATCAGACTAGTTTGGAAAGGGTACAACTCATTTCAGGTCAAGACTGTTAAAGCAGACTTTTCCCATCACATCAGTAGGAAATGTGTAGTTGGAAGAGTATGCATGATAGTGGATAAAACATAGCAAAAAAAGAAACTCAGGAAAATGTACTGCATCTGTGTATGACAATCATGGAAAGCAATAGGGTAGCCATTCATAGATCTAACCATGCCTGTTAAGCACAGTGATCTGTCTCCACCTGTTGAAGAAAGTCATTAACAGCTTATTTATAAACATTTATATCAATATCTGAAGGTATAGGATACATGTAGAGTCAGATACGATCTTTGGACTTTTCAATAATGACAAGATTAGCATAAAAATACATGGGAGACAGACCACAGTGATCGCATGGGTGTACTACACACCAAACAAAATAAGGAACAAATTCTTCCCGGCTTTTCACTCAATTTTTAAAAACGTTTTAACACCAGCATCCAAGAGGCAAAGGTGTTAATTCGTTGATGATTTGAAAGAACAAAGAACTCGATAATGTGCGCAATCATCTGAATTGAAAGCGTAGTGGTAATGAATTTTGGATGCGAAACGCGAAGCAATTAAAAACTGGCAAATGGTTGAGTATTCATCGCGATCATCTAAATTCACCTTGCCAAGCTGCATGCCAGCTGTGCTTCGGCGAAGCAACAACTTTTATCCGTAAATTTAACAAGAAAATCTTGCGCACGAACTAACAATGCATGGATTCAATACCACCAGCTAAGCACCTACTAAAATTTTCAGCGATAGGACGATAAAAGATAACCGAAACCAAACGGTAGATTTCTATCTTACACTATCGGGTATCCAAATGATTTTCGTTGTCGGGTATGGATGGTCAAAAGTCGCTCGAACTACAAATTCCGCCGTCTCTTCGTCAAGGTAAATTATTTGAACCTAGCAAAGAAATGAATAAATCGATCAGTTGAGAAGAAACTCTAAAAACAGACACTTATCGATCGCAAGCTCACTTTGTTGTTGTATTCCTCAACGAAGCTTCCCAGAGCAAGCCTAAAACGCTTGTCTGGTCTAACACTCCAATTCATGCCATAAATCGTCCATGGCGCATCATATTTGTATATTTCTTTCCTTTTCGTTGAAACACCTGTTGCAGTAGCGATCATGGCCATGGCGAAGGCCAAAATTCAAAACCAAAATACACCGGACGGCAAGCTGGCAGAAATAAACAAAGGCATTCAGCACGGCAAAATGGCGGTTCAACTGACCTCGTTCTGACACCAGATTCAGTCCAGCGCGTCAAGCTCAAATTTGCATAGAGAAAAGTTTAGAGCCCAGAGTCAGTTGGTTTGTTGTCAGCGGAATGAAAGACTGGACGCCGAACATATACATGTGTGGTGTATCCGTTATACAATGGCTTGACGTACAGACGGGGGTATTTGTAAAAACAATAATAGTAAAAAATCTAAAACGCAAACACGAATGACAAATAAATCTTGTTGATACCGCCTTTTAGCCACGGTGCACGTGGATAATGAGCCCGCGCTTCTGCCCCAATCGCTGAACGATTATAAGATGTCTGGGTTACATTAAGGATAAAAGGATGGGAGGCATAAGCTTCTTTCCTCAGCTCAAAAAGGAAACCAGGAAAGTAACGAATCGAAAGTGGTTTATCTTGGACTGTACTCTTATAGACAACGACATTCGTCATAACAGTGGTCGAAATGTTGTGGACTCACGAGACGCAGCTCAGTGAGTCCACAAAAAATTTTAACCACTGCGATTACGAATGTCGTTGTCGATAAGAGTGCAAACCGGTCTAAACCACTTTCGATTTATTTTTTACTATAATATTGACGTCATCCATGTTTGAGAGCTGGTAAAGGCATTGTAGAACAGTTGACACGAGCAGCGTTGTGTTTATTCTTATCAACAACGGCCAATTGGCCGGCAAATCGGCCAAATTGAAATAATTTGTTGCGTTCCTCTAAATAACCTCACATAAGATATTATTTCAGTAGAAACTAACGCCTAATTTACAACAGGCACTTTATCGAAAAAATTGCCGGACAAGACGGTTGTTATTTAAGCCATACCCTCTCCACCCACTTAGAAAGCGCAAAAGTTACCATCGGACGTTCTTCGACCTAAAGTGACACTAAATAATCTGGACTTTCAATACAGTCAAACCTTTATGAAGCAACAGTTCCATTATAGCTTTTCATTAACTCAGCAAAGTAGCTTCCTCTGTTGTTCAAAAGCGCACCAGGTTTATCAAACTCAATCACCCGGCCTTGATCAATGACCATTACCCGGTCATAGTCGATAATTGTCTCTAGCCTATGGGCAATGGTCAACACTGTGACGTCTTTCAATTTGGTTCGTATGACTTCTTGAATCAAACGATCTGTCTTAAAGTCTACATTAGCGGCTACTTCATCGAGGATAACGATTTTATTCTTTTGTAATAGGACACGCGCGAGACACAGCAGCTGCCTCTCTCCAGCACTCAGGTTGCTTCCAGATTCTGTAAGTCTATATTGCAGTTGTCCAGGTAACAGCTGTACCCATTGCTTTATTTTAACATCTTCCAGAGCGTTCCATATCTCATAGTCTTCGAGTTTCGTGAAAGGATCCATGTTGCCTCTTATGCTTCCCGCAAATAGGATAGGATCTTGAGTTATCACTGAAAATGTTCGCCTAGCATCCTGAATATTTAATGTTTCCAGATCTATTCCATCGACCATTACCTTAAAAAAACCCAAATATTTATTGAGATATATCCGATGATTTTGTTAAATATCAATTTACTACTGCATCATGTAGTACTGCCGTAATGCTGTTCGAAGTGAACTTTTACTGTATCTCCACCTCGACTTATCATATTTATACTTAAACGTATTTTACAGTCTGAATTTATCCAGTGAAATCCAAAGACCGACTTGCACTTGATAATTCTTAGGCCCCGAGCAATAATCGCGTTTAATCTGAATTTACATTTGAAGACTTACCATGCCATCTGGTTCGGGCATCCTGAACAGAGCTGCTACTACGGAAGACTTTCCTGATCCAGTTCTCCCCACCAAACCAACCTTCTCTTTATCCCTGATATCAACAGTAATATCCTTCAAGACACGATGACTTCCTTCAGTATATCTTAAGGACAAGTCTTTGAAACTTATGTTTCCTTTCGTCGGCCATGAATGTGGACGTTCATTTTGGGTGGAATATCCGGGTTCTGAAGCTATTTGAGTGAATGTTGCCACTCTCTCAACCGATGTCATGAGGTTCTCTGTCTCTGACGTCAACTGCACACCAAATTGAGCCGCATCCAAGGTTTCTAATGCGTAAATTAGTGACATTCCTGCAAGGGCTATTAGAAATAGTAGCATCAGTCTGGCTGTAGGTTCGCTTTAAGTCAATGACACCGGATAAATGGATTATTTGTGTATACAATACCAGGTATTTGTGTTGCTAGAACAGCTCCTGCCGCTACCAGTGTGACGAGCAAACTACAAAGTAATTCTAAACGGACGCCCAACCACTTGCCACACCCTAAAACCATTATAGCCGCAGGCGTGTTTTGGTCTTGGTATCTAAAAAAGTTTTCAAAGCTACATTAAATCGCAGTAGAAATAATAGATATTTTCATTTATAAATTCAATTATTAGCAATATTTAACTGATACCCTTTCTATTCATCAAGGAGCTCTGGACTCGCCTAATGTTAAAGTGCCCACTCTTTTTGTTGTATAAATAAAATGAAATTGGTGACCCTAAAATCCTATGAAAGGTGCTTCACTTGTTTTCTTGAATTACTCAATGCTAAGGAAGGCTATAAATTTATTGATTGAAGCCAAAGGTAGATATGATAATTTACCGTGATATTACTTACCTGGGATTGTAAATAGCGTAATATTCATTTTTGGTCAATGCCATATAAAAGAACTACTCAGACTTGCCTGTATAGATCCTGCAGGAAACTTTCCTCCATGTCAGAAGATCGTATCACTTCCAAGCCAGCAATTGTATCTGATATGTGTGAATATACTGGACTGCATTTTATGGCCTCTAACCGCTTTAGCTCTCGTGATGTCTTCAAATAATATCTTGCGTAGTAAAAGAAGAGTAATACCAAGGGGGCAATGCCAATAACCAACCAGTAATTAGTTGCTGCAGGTAGTAAAATGGCACCCAAGGAAAACAAGCACAGCTGGACTGCCAGAAGGAACTGTGGGGGCAGTGTGTCGTCCATGCAACCAACGTCCTTAGAGAAGCGGTTGAGGATGCGCCCAACTGGGTTAGTGTCGAAAAAAACAACTGGAGCCTTAATGATTGCTGTGAACATCTTGTCATGAAGCTTCTCTGATGCTCGCAAAAGGGTTGAGAGGAATAAAAAATAAATCATGGTGGACAAAATCAGGGCGCCGATTACTAATGATCCGTAAATGCCAAGTGTAGCGAGGTCTCTTTGCTGGTCCGCATCAGACATATTGGCAATTCGGGACAACCACCAGTATGGAGATATCAAAACAACTGCAATAGAAAGGTTCATGAACTGATTCATCTAAAAATCAGTCAAGCAGCGGACCGACCGGCCAACCGGCCAGGCAGTCGTGCGTACGTAAGCAAGCAAGCATACAAACGATTGAAATACAGTATCTATAAACAAACACTTAACAGAAATGAGAGGCTAAATATCTCCATCGAAAAATTGCCAGCTTTTCCTCAAACCATTAAAAAAACTTGTCCCATTGAATAGAAACATATCCCGAATTTCTGGCAATAAATTGACCTAATACGGCTAAGTATAAAACACAAGCGCAAAAAACTGTATAAGCATTACCTTGAACAAACAATACAAGAACGAAGAGACACATCAGCAGCGCGGCTGGAAGAGCAGATCGGAAATATTTCCAATAAAGAGTCCACGATACTTTTCCTATCATTCTGTCCTCTCCCTCCTCGTTTAAATCATCTTTAACCTCTTCCATAGTAGGGAGACCAAGTGACGTTTCTGTTCGACGCCTGCGCAGAGGAACTGAACTTTTTAAAGACTCTTTTCTCTGATATCTTTTCCCAGCAAATGTATTCTTGGACAACATTTTGTTATATAGCAGGTCATAATACTTTCCTTGGCACTCAATGCTTCCTCGTCCCATGACAATGATTTCATCATTACTTTCCAAAAACTGATGTTGGTGGGTCACCAAAACACAGATTTTTTCAGAGAGCAAGCCACGAACGCACTTTCTGAAAAGGTGCTTTCCCACTTGGGCATCAACGGCACTAAGAGGATCATCAAGCAAGTAGATGTTTCTGTCCGCATACAACGCACGGGCCAAACAAATACGCGAGCTCTGTCCTCCACTAAGACTTACTCCGCGTTGCCCAATGTGTGTCAAGTCACCTTTAGAGAACTGTTGGAGGTCCTCGTGCAAACTGCACGCTTCAATAATTTCTCGATATCTTATCTCATCAAGGGGTTTGCCAAATGTAATGTTATCTTGTATCGTCCCCGAGAAAAGACACGGAAGTTGAGGTACGTATGCGATGCTTCCAGAATGCCGAATCTCGCCACTTTTGCAAGGCAGTTCACCCAGTATTGCTTGCAGGAGAGAAGATTTCCCACAACCTACTGGACCTGTGATGGTGATGAATTGATTTTTGAAAATATTGACCGAGACATTATGCAATGTATCTGATTTATCTTCCTGATTCCAGCTGCAAGAGATGTTTTTTAACGAGATCCAGGATTCTGTTTGAGATCTTTTTAAGTATGCTTTTTCAATATGCTCTTTCTCGGGAATAGTGAATAAGCTTGTGAACTTATCAAAAGGGACATTAACTGCCTCAAAGTGTTTACGATCAAACGTAGGACTGCCATTTAACTTCAATTTGATGTCATCCTCACCAAGGCCAGGAAAGGAATTTACTTCTAGGAATTTCTGTATCCTGTCAAAAGACACTTTAGCGTCAGCTAACAAATGAAGTGTTTCCCCCATCGAAACAGAAACAGAGAATTTTATAACATTCAAAGTTGACATCAACGTGAAAATTTGAAAGGCTGTCAGATGGTTGTTGGTAAGAAGTAGTGTTGTGATGGAGATGAACGCAGCAATAAGGGTATTGGTAAAGTACAAGGAATCAAAACTTGAAAGAATGGCGCCTCTCCAACGAATAATACCGATCTCCTTTCTGAAAAAAAATGGAGAATATTTGAAATTATTATTTTTTTCTATGAGAAATACTGAGGCTATAAGTACTATCAAGATCTGCCGTAAGAGTCCTAAGTCTATTGTGGTGGACAAAAGTAAAAAGAAAGCCAATTTATCTTTCCCCGCTCAAAATCGTTTTATAACTGATTAAAGCGTAAAATTAGCGCATGATTAAGAAGTGAGAAGAGAGGAAAAACTGTTGTTAGTTGCACTGTACGACGGGCTGAATTACTTTGGTTATGGCAGAAGAAGAAGTTGTTGTTACTGACTGTTTCCTATTTTTGACGATTGTTCGCTTTGAAAAATACTTATACTTACATTCTCAAGTCCCTAATTAGATCTCTGAAGTTCCATTCCCAAGCGTGAATTTTAATTGAACGAATACCGGTTATGACCTCGTTCAAAATCTCAAGACGTCTATCCGTCACGGATGCAGCATTTTCTCTTAGACGGCCCGCTTTCTTGGAAAGCACAGATATGTATATAATCACTATCAAGAAAAAGCCTGCTCCCACGAGGGCCTGCCATCCAATTAAAAACCAAAGAAGTATCCCAGATGATAGAATTTCTATCGGGGCAAACACGAAAAACAGCATGCTCCAAACAGCGTCCAGTAATCGATTGGCATCATTTGAGACCAAGTTGATCGTTTGACCAGATGCGATTTCATTCAAAGAACGTCGATTTGACCTAAGAATCTGTAAGAGGTAAGTAAAAAGTAATGGGTGTTTCCCCTTTTTTAAATGAAACATTTCCAAGTTTTGTTATGCTAACTCCTCTTTGCAACAGGATAAGAAAACGCTATGATAAGTACTAAAATATATGCTGTAAGTGCGGTAATGCTACAGTGACTAAAGTCGGAAATGGAAAGTGTGGACGTCTTGGCTCGTCTCTCTGGGTTTTCTGCTATAAGCAGAGCGGTCAAAGACATTTATTATAAGTCTGACAGACGGTTTCTATTGACCTTTTGTTCGTGTCATGAGTGGGACACTTTGAACCATAGAGATTGTGAGAGCTTTTGTTATAATCCTCTAAAAATTTTCCTCAGATTAAATTGAAATTCATACCTTCTTGTAGATTAATCCGATAGCAGAAACCTTCAGCTGCAGAGCGGATATTCCAGCTAAGAAAAATGAATGGTGATGCGTCATTCCCTTGACAACTGTAAGAAACGAGATGGCAACAACATGAAGTATAGAAGAACTTTTATTCACATCCGCATTTTCTGATAAACTGGAGAGGAAAAGCCAAACCATTATGGGAGTTAGGATACTGGATAAAGAGTGCGTTAGTTTGACAGCCACCAACATCAGGTATTTCTTGAAGGAGAACATATTAAACGCGACCCTCCATAGACGAGGTTGTTTATTTTTGCGAGTGCAGATGGCTGATTCTTGAAGCCATTCTGCTTCAAGCTTGTCAACAAGTGCTTCTGTTTTGAATTCTTCTTGAAGGGAAAGCAGATCTTCGTCTTGCAAGGGGCGTTGGTTGCCGAGTTTCAAGGTGTCATTCATCCACCAGAAAAATAACAGAGAAAATATGTTTGCTCTCTCCATAGGACTGTGATTCCGCTTTTTCGATGACTCGGCGTTCATGTCAATCTTCCTTTACCTGTAAATTAATCAGTCACATTCCAAAATCTTGAAAGCCAAAATAATATTCAAATCACTACTTGTTTCGCTGGAAGGGGTGTTATTTCATTGAGGTTTAATCCCAGAGATTCGTCAGGTGTTCCAAATACTTGCTGTTACTGTACTGGTACTTATGTGTATTTACGCCCGGTTATAGAGACAGGCACCATCAGTAATTAATAGTGATGAGAGAAGGAAGATTACAATGACTGGAACTGTTGTCAAATGGAACGCGTTCATCGCCGATGGAATGTTTCAAAAGGAAACTTTCTGAATTATGTAGCTAAAGAAATCCTTACCTTCCACCCCCACCCTTCCCCCTCTTTAATGCATGCGTCAGGCCATGAAAAAGCCCAATCACAATTGATCGAGGACATATGCGGTTTTTGGAGTCACGCAGGCAATATTGATAGGCATTAGAGAACAGGCGGAACTTCAGATTTCTAGGTCTTTGGAAAGTGAAATAAAGTTTGTGAAATAAAAGTGCTGTTTCAGGGTGACAATTCCAGTCTCTGAAAAGTGTGCCTGTAATTAGAAACTTTTAAAACTATTCGGCAATAAAAGTCATTGTTGCCTCGATTTTCCAATGGACCTCAAATGATTCCTTGATTGTGGCAGCACTAGTTCTGCAATTCATATTTTAAAAATGTTTCACTAGTCGATTCCGGCCATATTCCAGTGAACTCAACATTAAATCACCTGTACTAGGTTTCATTCATGATTTCCTGTTTTCATCCGTCACCCATCGAGTCATTTGTCAAGAGATACTCTTACCGAACCCTAAAAGACAAATTTCTTCCCTTGCACGCTTTTAGCCTCTATATTCCCGTCTTCTCTAACTTGAACAAAGAGTCGGAGATTCCCGCCTTCTTTAACTTGAACAAGGAGTTGGAGATAGTAAATTATAGCAGCTGAAAATCACTGCCTACATTTATATCGAGAGTTACCATGACGAATCCGAGTTCAAAATTTCACCAGAAGTCAGATATGCAACGTTGTAACCCGTGTGTGATGACTCACAAGAGAGCACACATTTTTTTTTCCTTTTAAAAGGGATAAAGGAGAGAGCATAATCGCAAATTGCACCAGAATAACGAGATAACAAGTTAAAATCCTGTTAGCTGACGCATTTGTTTTTATTTAGGAGAAATGTCTTCCCCGCTAAAATCACTCGTTCAGTAATTACTGTTTGTGATGGTTTCCTAGGTAAAGAGTAACAACCAAACACTTCTTAAGGCACGTTTCTCCTCGTCCCTTTTGAATTTGTTTCTTTTATTGAACATCGCCCCATATCTTGTAAGATTTATCAAACATTTTCATGTTCGAATTCGGTCATAAAAAGCTGGTAGACAATTAAATAAATCTGCTGCTGCCTAGAATATATGTGTTGGCCACGGGGTCTTTGTGTAAAAGGTAAGACGAATGTACTCAGAAAGTTTTTTAAACGATCATTTAGCAATCATGCCAAATGGGTACCCACCTGCAAATTTTCACTGGAGAACTGTTTGAGTGTTGTACTATCCAAAGTTTTCTTCTTGCAGTGCAATCATTAAGTACATCCAAAATGTTATGATCACTATCGATTCCTCAAAACGTGATGCGAAAACTACCCGTACAAAGAAGAGCCAATATCATCTGTGGTTTTTATTCATTTGTGATGAAAAGATTTGGAACCAATATCGACTTTATCATTATCAGATTAGTTCGACCGGATCTAATGAGAAAACAAAGTCACCTTTTGAATTATCTAAATTATAGAAAAATCGTAAGAGAGCTTATCTGTAACAAATTTCCTTTGTTGTAAAACCTTGACACCAAAAAAGAGAAAGCTAATACCAAATACAGGCACAATGCAGATTGTAATTGTGATGATCAAGCAACAATTTTCCGTTTAATTCAAACCTTTCGTCTCACGATGATTAAAGGCTTCTCTGACGTTATTGATTTTTTTTTTTTACATCTTTTACAAAGGCTAAGTGATAAATGCTCAACTCAACAATGGAAGTCATGGGAACAAAGACACCCAAGCCAGTACGGTTCTCAATCACTTAGATTGTGACCAACCGAGAATGTTCAAGCTTATTTCTCATAGCTCAAATGAAAAATGAAACAACCGGTGAGAAGCTCCCACCATGATTCATCTTATTTACTTGTTTGCAATGGCACTCTCATATCAGCATGGTTTAGATGTATTCGTCGATTGAAATTTAACAAAAATATGTACTCAAGACGTCGGGCACAGTTTTTCCCAATACAGACCTCCCGGCTGACGAATAACATATATAAGTTCTCTCTCTTTTTTCTCTATCTATTGACTCTTAAAGGCAGAATGAATTTTTAAACTCACTACGCCTCAGGAACTCGTGACGTATTCGATGACGTTATTTTTGGGCACTAGTGTAAAGCTAGGGAAACTTGCTAACGAGTTGTTCTCAGCAGGCAATTGCAGTGGATCAGAAGGGGTAGCGATACTCTTGCTCGATGAGTGATAAAGAAGTTGATATAAGTTTTCGGCCACGAAGAGAGTTACTTCGTTAGCTCGACTTACATGCGTAAGTTATTTGCTTCATAGGGCATACATCGACACAGAGTAAATATAATTAACGATCAAACTCCCAAGGGGAGAGGTAGAAGGCTAAATGTATGGCTAGCTTGAACAAGCACAAGCCATCTAGTTTAAACTTACATTTCACGACATGCCATACTACGCTCAGGAGTTAAAATGTGTTCTTTTTTTAGTCCGTGGTAAAATAAAAAAAATCTAAATCTTTTGAATGTACGCATCTTCACGCTGCAGTTTGCAAAATATACTATTTTCATATTTATTTTGGCTCAAGTATTAAAAAAGCTCAAAATATTTTCAATGATTGTGCAATAAATGAGCAGCACAAGGCACCTGACTTCTGCACGTTTTATTGCACTAACCTCAAGAACTATATAAATAAAAGCACAACATCAGTCATCATTTAAACAGTTTTTCTTTATTATTTTCCCTTGAATCCCAAGTTAAATATGAATTCGAAGCTTTCCTCCCTCAAATGGGGGTTCCTGAAAGAAAGAAGGATCAACTTTTCAGTTATCCATATCATTGCTGACTTAAATTATGGCGAAATAGATTGATGGAGGGGCCAAGGGTGTGATGAGCCAGACTGGAAGCTCTCCAAGAATCATGGACTTATATTAAAAATGTTGCATTGCGGAACCTTTGTCTTGAGGTGAGGAATCGAATTCTAAATATTTAAAGCTCTCCAACGTTACTCTTTTTTTAGTTTTGTCCTGCAGTTAGGAGCTAATAAATCTCAAATCTAGCAAACTTACTCATCATCGAAAGTTCTCTTCGTAGAAACCTACATTATTTTGATCAATTTGATTGGATTGATAAGAATAAAAAAAGATGGCATGGGTTGTGTTCGGATGTCAAATAATAGCGCACCGATGCTCTAATACTGAGCGACGGACAAGGCAATGGTCATCTGGGTGATTTTTAGCTAAGTTTATTTGCCTTCCCAATTTTTGGATCAGCAATGGCGGAATTAAACAACGTGCTAGTGAATAGATTACTTGTACGTTTAAGTATACCGCTCCTTTATAGCATTGCTAAGTACAAATCCAATTTTAAAAAGTTATGAACAATAAAATATACGGAGATCACAAATATTCATCAAATATGAATAAGTGACATACACTTCAATGAAGAAGGAATACAGCGTGCTTGGGTGCACGGATATTCCGTGCATGGAGATTTTCGCCTTTCCTCACATTGGAAACCTGAGGGGCAATCCAAGGACTGAAAAAAAAGAACACACAAAAACAAAACATAGAGATTTTCGCCTTTCCTCACATTGGAAACCTGAGGGGCGATCGAAGGACTGAAAAAAAAGAACACACAAAAACAAAACAAAACAGAAGGACAAGCATTGAAACAGTGAGTATTTCTGTAATCGACCCTAGATTTATTTACGCTGTTAAATAAGGTAATACAAATTTAAATGAGGAGACCCATTTAGGAAAAGAATCATCGACACTTATAGAAAAGCTTGCATGATTTTTGCGAGTTCCTTTACGTCAAAATTAGATACGCCAAGTTGACCCTATGATAATGACATGACGCCGACCTATTTTACAGCATGACTTGCAACGCAACCCACCTCGCAAGTCTTCGGTTTCAATGCGAATGCCCTTAGGCTATTTGGGGAAGACTGGCACTGGTAGCATTCCAGTAGGAGAGTTTTTGGTGTTGACCTCTGCTCAGTAAAATGTCCTTCGAAAGCGAACTCAATAAAATCTCCGTTCTGAAGATACTGGTTCCACGCAAATCCTTGAAACGAGTAGATTGTCTCTATGGAAGAAAAGTTTGCTCTTAAAAAGAGAGCCAGCGTTAATGTCACTTGGTCTATAATTCCAGTGACCTCCTGTGATAATCAACTCGAGTATTTCATGGGTACTATTACATTTCTATGGAAATTGCTGGCAGCCCTATTGATGTATTACTGGAGGTGCAAGCTTATTAAAAGAGGACTGATAAGCTATCTCGAGCTAAACGAACACTTTTGCCGAGATTCCTCGAGAATAATTCCAACAGTTTAAGAGCTGGTGATGTGATCTTGGTTGAAATAACTTAAAGTCCTCGTTAAATAAAATATCATTAAATAAACTCGATATCATTAATCTTAAAATGAATATTCGACAAATCAAAGAAATAAAAAACACCCCTAGATTGCTACTTACTAAATTTGTTGTGGGAGACGAGCACGGCGTTCCAGTGCGACACAATCTCCAGTGGGTAATCGTAGAAGATCGTCACCTGCCAGTTTCCATTCATAAACCTCTTAATCTTCGCGAGGACTGTGACTACGTATCCCGAGCACCATTCATTGTCGATTATATGTTCGATGTACCTAAAACAAAACAAAACAAAACGGTACAGTGATCGAATCTTCCGGTTGTAAAATGGCATTTCTATCGGCTGCGGAGGGAAACTCAAGATTTTCACTGTTCACCAGTCAGGTAAGTGTATTGCACTCTCCTTTGGCAAGTTAAACTGTCCTCCCTTGCCATAAAAATTACAGGACCCCACACTCAAAAGAATACCGGCACTATTCGAAAATTGTGGTATCGGTTGATTTTTTTTGTTGTTGCACAGGTGAACAAACGTGGAAATTACAATGGTGATGTAATATTCATTTTGCTTAAGAGAGCTAGACACCAATGAAACTGTTGATCATTTTCAATGCTGTCACGAAGAAATTGAAAGTGTTATGTACTCCTCGTAACCGGTATCAGCGACATCTGGACAGGCTTTACAATTCGGACCGCCGCAATCGATTGCATGTTCTCCCTGGTTTTGTACCCCGTCGTCACAAGTAGGTGGAGGGGGCGGTTTGACTACACCACAGTTGGGCTGCTTGGGATCCCAAGCATCCTGCAAATAGAAAGATACACAGCTAAAAATGAACTATTCAAATCAAGGGATAAAGATTAAAATTAAATGAAATCAAATATAACTTTGAAACTAACGAGCAAACCGACAGAGAAAGGAAATAAATGTACGAAATAGCCAGCGATAGATTGAACCAAGAGATGAGAGATGGATGGATAATTGGCAGGATGGATAGATGCTCTAGAAGGGATACAGGCTTAGGATCATAAGAATGAGTGAAGGAGTGGATGGATGTATGGTACATAAGTCCATATATAACAATAAGCAACTTACAGCAATTTTGTCCATGCCAAGTTCGTGCTTGCAAACAGCTGGAGACACAGACACCTGACAAGTGATCCTGGGATCACAATCTACGTTGATTGGCACTTCCCTTATACGGTCATCAATTGCACCGACCTTATCTGGATGGAAACAGAAGTCTCCAAGTTTTGCATCTTTGGTGAGGTTCGAAAGAGGGAGGCCAGCTCCTGGTGGACCCAGTCTACATGGTCCAACAGGTGGAGCCTTATCTCTGGTACAATCCAGACTGGGATCACCACCTGTGACACGAAGCTTTGCACAGTTGTAGTAGGGCTTTAGCTCGATGCCTATAGCAGCTTTGTATTGTAGAATGTAGATGCCATCAGCAAGGTTGAAGGGAATGGTAATGGTTGTATCGTATCGCTCATTGTCGAGTACGTCTGCCATAAAATATAAACTTCAATCAGACATATGGTAAACCAGAATTCGAAATTTTGAATATACCTTGAAGGCAATTAATACCTCTCTCTGGTAGAGTTGAATTTTTCATTTGGCGACTAGTACTCAGAGCAGTTATATAATTCATCAACTGCATCATCTGCCTTTATATTGTGAAAATCTCGACAAAGTGACTTGCCTGATTGGTACTGACATCCTGGCCTTGCATTGCATGGATGCTTACAGTCACCAAAGCGGAACATGCCTGGCCTCTGATCATGTCCATAACACACAACTTTCAGTACGTTGTTCAAGTAAGCTTCATGACTATCCTTCTGACTCTCAGGAACCAAGGCGAGTCTCACATATCCACCTCCGTGATTGTTAGAGGTCCACCCAACCTTAAGAATAACGAGAGGAAGAAAAGTGGGAGTTGCTGTTTCATTTGAGGCATGAAAGAGGGAGTTATGTGACTTTTGACATTTCAATTGTAATAGACGAAATAAATCAGAGAAATTCCTTTATTGGCGGCTGAATCCGGCAAAAAAAAGTTGTAGGAAACGTACAACAGTATTTCCATGTTGGGTTTTATTTCATGGTCATATTCATTATTGCTATTATTAATACCATTACAACTAATATAATTAATACCATAACAACTAATATAATTAATACCATTACAACTAATATAATTAATACCATTACTATTATGATCATCTCCCAAACTGAATTTGAGGCCAAAAAATCAAATTATTCATCTATGGTCATGGAAAAGTTAGCAGAGCTCCGATAATAAAACATCAAAGGTAACGAGTGAAAAATTAGTTTTGTTGACACAATGATTGAATGAAAAAATTCGTTATTTAAACTTAAGTCTTTTGAAATTTTTTAAGTTGCCTTCTAATGACTATGGATTTTGTGTTGAAAGCACCTGGTTAATTGTGGCAGAGATAATCTAGTAAAATTACTAGAAAGCTGATCCACCCAGAAAAATAAGTTTCTTTTTAATTTCTCTGAGACTGAACAAGGTCAGTAGACGAACCTTAAGGCGATCCCCGGCCAGCACGTCAGTTGTAGCTCCTTAAGACGGAAAAGAGAGAGGTTTGATTCATTCTGCGATCAAACTAAGCGAATTAAAAATTAACTTTTTTTTTACTAAAACCAGATGAATCTTCACCTTTGTACCATTTTTCGCATGGTCCCGTTGTGTCTCCAGCCTTGTCTGGGTACGTGTCAAGAGGCCTGCAACAGTGTAAGTCATATTTATCATATACGGTCTTTCTTAAAAAGAATGTCATTCTCGCTAAGAGATTCCAAATTTGCGGAAAAACGGTTTTAAGTAATCTCACCTGGGGCAGCTCATCCATGAATGTCCTTTTACAAGCTTTTGGGAAGCGATGCAGAATAAGACAAGGAGCACTGTTTTACAAATCATCCTGTAAAACTCCTCTTTAGCTTGAATGCACTCCGTAAGAAACTAGTCAACCAACTGTATTCTATCTTTATTCTTAAGTACCTCACGAAAGTCAACTTTAGCTAAAATGTTTAGTTTCACTTATGCCACCACTGTACAAAGTGACAATCATGGGACAGCTGTATAAATATCAATCACGTTGGTTCTTTCTCGAAAATTACTCTTCTTATTAAAATCTTAAGTGATTGATGTGTTGAAATGATTTTATATTTAAAAGGAATTTTTCTTCGATTGAATCAAAAGCAAATACACTTGCTCTCGCTGCAAGAAATCCAAAATGTTAACGTCAAAAGGACTGGTTACTGAGTGTTACTTTTTCCTCGTTTAATTGCGGAATTTAAAACATTTTCAAAACATCTTTAATGCAGTGTGGCAATGAGCAAATACAATTTTTTTAAGCAATAAAAATAGGTGCTGGACTAGAGGTTCTTAATTTTTCAATTTAACCATAAGTGAAGCTTCATGAGATTTGAAAGGCTAGACGTTTGTGCGAATACCGAAAAAATCTAAGCCTTGGACCTCAAGTACATCGTGTTTCAAATGGTTGTAGCGCCTGAGAAATAAGCTCACTTTTAATGAAGCATAAAATCGTCAATAAAAGTACAGTAGGAAAAGTCAGATGTAATGAAACAGCTGGACCGAAAAAATAACTTAAATAAATAAATAAACAAATATTAGCACGAAAAATAAGCCCAGATCAGAGTTTACTGCTCAGGACGAAACTTGTTCAGAATACATTAAAAACTCTTAACTTATATATACCATAACCGAAAGTAAAACAAAATGGAACAAGAAATAAAAACGAATAATTTTCGCTTATTTTGCAAAACATAGTATTCTCACTTTCGCAATATTTGACGTCAGATGTTAAGAGTATTTTCTCAATCGAGGGGAGTAAAAATTTTCAGTGATCAATGTTTTCTAGTTGGCTCAAAGACTTCAATGAGGGATTTGCTTATTTTATACTTAGATTTCTCTACAAGAAAATAACACATCGATTACTCTTGTGAGAAGCCTTTAATTTGCGTGACCTACTCGCTAGAATACGCAAATGAAACCATCGCAAAGGACACCGGCTCCTTTTTACAGCCAGCTGCTCTTCATTCTGCAAGATCAGCTATCAGTTTGTCTTCGTTGAACAAAAACAACGAGAAAAAATTGATTCTCGAAAAAATTGAAATACATCAAATTCTCGAAAACGATATATTTTTTGCACAAAAATCACACCTCTCTTCCCTCAAGAGAAATCTACACATCAAAAACCTTGCAGGAGTTCTCGATGAAAAGTTCTCGAAGAGTTACAGCGGAGATTCGAACACCAGTCAATTATGATTTAGTTACTAGATGCTCCGCGACGGAGCTGAAGATAATTCATTGACTAGTTAAGCGATATGCCAGTCGCATCTGCGACAAACGTCATTTACACTAGCTGGGATTAAAGACGTCGAAAACGTCTTCAGGTTTCTTTCAGTTTTTTGTTTTCAGTTTTTAATTTTTCAGGAAAATAAAATAAACTTAGGAGGATGAGCGCTAAAAAGACGCTTAAAATTTATCATTGAAGTAGTAGCTTTATTCCTTCTTAACACTGAACATTTTGAGGCCAATCACAATACTTTCTTATCTTGTTGTATTTCAGTCCTGGCGGGCAGCTTCTAGGATACGCAACACCAGCAGAACATACAATAAACCCGGAACAGTTTGCTGGGTCGGGAAAATAACCGTCCACTGAACAGTCTACAGGACCTATAGGAAGAAATGGTTCACAGCCTATTAAGCACTTTAGTAAATAGTTAGAATAAACTGACCGACCATTAGAAAAGGTCGATCCTAGTTACTATCTTCGTCAAAAGTTTCCACAACTCTAAATCCCCGCGGACATACTTGAGTGATCATAAAATGCACCTTTTCGCATTCGCTGAGGTTGATACTACTTGTTTTTAGGGCCCTTTCGGAAGTAAAAAACGACTAACAGCAAAAGTTTTAACCGAATTTTTTTCACAAACAAAAAAATCAACCTTGAAGCAACATTGTTTTTCTTCCAGTCCATAAATCGCACAAGAAAAGTTGAATTTCAAATAAACTTTGATGTTCGACAGACCTCCTGGAAAAAGTCTTACTGACATTTGAAGATTGACCCATCCGTGAAGGTGATACTCTCTCTCTTTCCTACATTTTCTCTTAGGAAGCTGTACAGAAGTTATAATATATTACACCTGTGAGCTCTGACCCCTAGTCTCATTTTGTAATTTACCAACAAGAGTAAGGGTTGCTTATAGCATCTTACTCGTAAGTAATCGCTCTACGAGAGCAAGCGCTGCTTTCCGAGAAGTGAACTAAAACGAAGACCTACATGGAAGAGCGATATCGTTGCTAGGGTGACTAGTTTTGTTTATCTTTATTTTACTGCTACACGTTTTTGAGTTATTTTTTTTAATTAAAAAAATCTGTTATCGAGCTATTTTTTGTTATTAACAAAAAATAATAACATCTATGTTATTGAGCTTTTTTTTTTAATTAAAAAAAATATCTATGTTAGCGTATAGAGAGTGGTATATATGTTGCTCGCACCAATCAGATCGTTTAGGGTATGTATCTCGCACCAATCAGAGCGCCGTTTTTGTTCTTTGGTTTGACAGGTGTTCAAATTTCATCGAAGTAAGGGGGATTCGGATAGGGCGGTTCGTAAAATGGAGTCATCTTTTAGAATGAGAAATGTTGGCTTTTTTGTGTTGTTAACGTGTGTTTTACCGCGCTTTATGAGAAATGCGATACCACTGGACAGATGAAAGATATCAGATTACCTATAGTAAGCGTATTACTCATGCTGTGAAAATGGTGGATAGTTGTTCGAGAGAAAATGGAGTTCTGTGCACTGTAGCACGATCACGTCACAATAACGTCAAAAATATATCAATTCGAAGGAACAGTTTTGGTCTCGGTCCGCATTTTTGTCAACAAAATAAACACATATCGCTTAAAAAGATGATAATACGGACCACGTGCAAAGCTGTCAACTGTTTCTCGAATGTTGCGCAGGTTAAATATGCAATAGTGACATCTCATTTACATCTACATATACATCTACTTTTGTACAGACATCACACCAACCAACTCGCGCGCAAAGTGAAACGGCAATATGAAGGCTTGAAATTACATTACGATCGATTTTCATCAAGAAATGGGCCAGGATTATTTCCACTATAATGCAAATAAGCGTGAAAGCTGATCAAGGAAAAGCGATTGCGTGACGCTCGGGAAGTTGGAAGATGCATGTTATCACATACCAGACGAAAAAACTCTTTAGATTCTCAGTCTACATTTGTACCCATTCTGCAGTCCGCAGTCTACATTTTGTACCTGGTTTACAATTTGTATCCGGTCTACAGTCTGCAGTCTGCATTTTGTATACTAACAAGTATCCACGGCACCAATACAGTTTATTTTTGGTTACAGTTATTCGCACAACTCACAAAATCTACCACAAAATACCCATTTGTGAGTTAATTCAACATTTTCGTTCCTTTCCGCGTTAATACTCTTCTTTACTTTTGTAAAAATGTAGACATCACTTACAATGTTTCAAGTAATTCACCCACCCCCAAAAAAATAACTCTTGGATGCATAGCATGCCTATGTTTTCATTTGTTTCAGTGGATACAAAACGTTGTTAGTGATAGGTAGCTTACCAGTCGGAGGTTTTGTAGTAATAATCGGTCTTTGGGTCTGTGGTTTTGTAGTTTGAAGCGTTGTTGGTTTCTGCGTCGAAGTTGATGACTGCATTGATGTGCAAGTAGTTGTCTGCGGTGTCGTTGGAGGTGCTTGCGTGCTGGGTGCCTCAGTTGGGGGATTAGCAATTCCACGCAGGAGCTCAAATGCATGTGTACCGTAGTTTTTACCTTTGACAATGTTGTTTTGTACCCAGGAGCAGTCCCAAAACATGAGTCCACCAACACCAGGTTTGTCTCGGATTTGCTACAGTGTGGGTATTAAGAAAGATCACATTCATCTGTTCCGAGCGTGGGCAAAAAAATAGAAGCAAAATTTGACTTCAAGATATCCCCATCAAGAACCGAACATACCTCTATTATTTGTGTCTTTTGTGAAAAACAATTTCCGTTATTTTGGCCCCTTTTCAAGTAAAGTATGCGAGATGCAGCATTTTATGCAAGGGTACCATCATTTGAGCAAACTAAACTAAAAACAGTCGTAATAATTCTCTTATATAACCATTTATTATCCAGTGGATTGCGTCACATTTATATATCTTTTACGACTGGTAAAGGTGTTTTAAGCCGAAATAAAGATGGCTAAATGTCTACATTCAAGCGTAGATTTGACTGGAAGCATTTAAAATTGGACTGTCGCCCAGCTGACTTACTTCTCTCGCGTGCAAGGGAAAAAATGGGAAGAAGGGCTGTTGTTATTCTAATCAACTATGCAATAGATCGAACAAATTAGAAGTTATTAATTTCAGAAGATGTAATCGTCAATAAAATCACATAGAGTGATACCTTGTACACGTGAGCCAGTTTATCAGGTGGGAAATAGTAATGTGGTTTGCCAGCGGCTTGCGGTCCAGCAGGCAGGCCAAGAACAATGAGCGAACCATTAGGAACACTTCGCGCCCATTGTAACCAAGTGTCAATTACAGGTAAAAAGTACTGGTCTCCAGGGTAGCAGTAATTGTTGTAGAACTGTATGAATAAGTAGTCAAATTCTTGGCCATAATCTACAGAGAAAGAAACGGTATCATAACTTCTGAACTTCAAGTTAAATTTTAAATTAAACAGTCATTCCAGTCAAAAATCGTCTCAAATAAAGGGATCGCCACAGCTCCGCACCTGGAGCCTTTGCCACAGTTCCATAACTGAAGTTTCAATGAAAACTCTTTTAGGTATTCCAATAAGACCCTCATGTAGATAAAACGTTTTGCGGCCCGAAATATCGACTCCACCAGATTCCAGGCCAGAAAATTAAAAAAAAAAAAAACGATCGTATTTTGGTCGGTGCTTATATATTAACAAACCCCAAGCCAACCTCCATTCAGGGTAATTTAGTACAATCATCTGACTTGATAACGTAAATTGGCCACCGTAAAGAGTTACAAGGCTGACGTTTCGAGCGTTAGCCCTTCGTCAAAGCGAAGGGCTAACGAAGAGCTAAGGCTCGAAAACTTCAGCTTTGTAACTCTTCAAGGTGGCCAATTTACGTTATTAACTCCGTTGATAAAACTTAATTACCCTATTAACTCTCCCACCAACGCAGCACCACAGCTTCTTCAGAAACTTACCCCATTTATTCAACCTTCATTCAGTCTATTCAGGGGACACTTGCCCTGGTCATGAGGGCTTTCCCTGAATGGGCTTACGTTCCATTGAGTTTGACGGAAACAAATTATTACGTGAGGACGACCTAGTGCTCAAGGAACCAATGTTCAGACAGACTCACCAACGGATGATGAATCAATAAACACTCACAAAAAGAGAGACATAAAGTGTACAGACACATACCTTCCAGTGCAGATCCTTGTATTTGAGGTCCCATCCACTTATCAGGAAATGGACACTGCGGTGCTGCAGTTATTAGATACTTTTTACTGGGATCTGTGTTCATAAGACGGCGCATCTCACGGACAAAATCAGGATAGTATCTATGGCTTCCTATCTCGATATCAAGATCAACACCATCCATCACGGTCCTATGAAGGGATCATGTTATTTCTAACGTTTGTTCTTTAGATAATCAATGTTAAGCTCTTACTTTTTCATCTTTTGGCTTTTCTCCTCCAGAGTTGGGAATTCATGTTTTGAAATTAAGAAAGGTCTCAAGAAAAACCAAATTGCAAAGCAGCAACAGAACTCGTGCATAAAAAGATTTGAATTTACTTTGTAATCATAAACAATTACCTCCTCTCTGAAAGGGGCCTAGAAGAAAGTTCAGTTTTCATTATTTTTGTTTGTTTATGAGTGATCGAGCACAATAAGATGACCAAGAAGTTAATATTTACCACAAAAACGGCCTTTTGTCCGGCATATCCTTGCCTCCCAGGAACAGATTCCATATATATATAGTACGCAAGTTTCTTGGCGTTTTCAGTAGTCCCCAAGCTGCCGTCACAAGTATCCCCGCCAAGGGATATCAACATTTTCCTACCGAGCTTCTGACAATCTCTGATTCCGCCCCCGATAGTAGCGCACTCGAAAAGGTCAGGGTTTTGGGGGTCTGGGGCATAATTGCAGTGATGGGCGAAGTTCATCCCAGGATAACCATCTAGAATATTAATATGCAAGGAAATTGATAACTTCTATAAGATTATCCTCCTTCTATGGCTTAAATATACTTCTATCTGGTCTTTGCTTTTGTGAAGTGCATCATGAAACACTGTCCTTACCCGATGTTCTCGAGATATACAGGTTTCATGATCCTAAGAAATTTTTCCTTTTAAAAGTTCCTGTTAGTTCTTCGTGTGCGAGATAGAAATCAAAGATCAAATTTCGATCAAGATACAGGCATTCTGATTATTTCACTTGACAAAAATACAAAAACTAGAAAATTTAAAGTCATGTGCATGCAACGAAAAGTCTCTCCGAAAGCAAGTGAATGAATAAATGAATGCACGAAACAGGGAATGAATGAATGGTCGCCTAAATGAATATATCAGGCTAAATGGATGGGAAAAAAAGCCAAGCCAATTCATGCAAAACATAATTTCGCCATCAACGATACATCGAAGAATCTCTCCTCAATGTCCTTACCTCTATTTCTGTTATCCCTAAAGAGCCGGTGCACAAATGCAACCAAATAAATATCAAACTTGTGTTGATTGCAGAAGTAGCGCAGGTCTTTCTCCCAGTACGGTCTGCTGACTTTTGTACCGATTGCATTTTGTCCCCAATAGCCCACCAAGAGCTGTCGGTTTGGGAGAGAGCGCTTTGCTGAAAAACCTTTAGACGAGTTTTCCGATGGAAGTTCACTACGGAATTCGGCATAAAGAATTTCTAAACACCTTAAACATGTCTTGACCAGACTGAACAATGAAGCTCACCACGATACTCTCTCACTAGCATTAAAACGTTAAACACCACCTTTAACTCATTACCACAATTAGATCTGTTGAAAACACATGGTCAACTGTTTGTTGTTTTTTGCATTATTCTCCCCTAGTTGAAAAAAACCGTTTGCATTATCAATAGTTCGAATGACTGTACGTGTAACTGTTTCAAGGTACTTATCACTGTTCCGATAAGGTGAGATATAACAACTCGAGTTATTGTTTCGGTTTTCGGTAATATTCAGCCGTTTTCAGCGTCGTTAAACAGCCGAAAACTCCGAGGATTCAAAGCTAAGCCAAGCTTAATTTACTTTTTTGATCAAATGTCAAACCAGTTGAGTTCTCTGTAATTCGATTGGTAGGACATCGGAGAGCCAATCGTTCTAAATTGGGTTTCGAGCCTCGGGAGGGATCTCGGCTTATTATTTGGTCAAGTCTTGTAGCAGATATTCGCCATTTTCTTTAGTTTATTGTTTTCGTTTTTCTTCTATTTTTATCTTCTGATGGATATCTCTGAGGACTGACCAAAATTCCATCTTCTTTTTAAAAATGACTTAAGTTCATGGAGCATGGTCATATCTGAATTCCAAGTTTAAAAATCATTACCTAGAAGATCAGAACTAAGATATAATGTACTAATATTGCCTGGGGTCTTGGAAAAATAGAACCTATTTCTTATTGTTCGTCAGGGTTGTCAATTTGTATGATTTTTCTTAGTTTCAAAAAAACAAACTTCTTTCCAACTAAATATTAGATGAAATTGCTTTTTCAACAATTTCCAGTTTAGTCTTACCTCTCAGTAGCTTCGGTTCCCAAGAAAACCAAGAGCACCAAGGGAAAAAAATGCTTCATTGTTCGTAGAACTCTTTTCCCAGCTGAAGACAAAGAGTAATGCGAATTAAAGACAATACCTCTTTGATGTGAGATGGTCTCCTGAGCAAACAGGAAACGCCCTTAGTGAAATATGGGCTGTTTCAGAGTAGAAAAAAATTGGAATGCAGGGGCTAATCATCACACCTTAATCCCAGCCTCTTAAGTGCCGCACATATAGCTGTTATTTTCGATTTTTTTTCGCACGATTTCCTTTTAAGTGGGGAAAGAGTAAGTAGTCTTTACAGAACTTTTATTTATAGGTATTGTTAATGCTCATTCTCATGGTCTATGATAACATTCCGGAGACTCTCCAGAGAACTAACGTTAGTACTTGTCTTGAATTGGGAAACTTCATTTCAGTATTGTGTACAAACCTTGCAACTGACTACACAAACTGCGTCAGTCCTGTCAGCTTTAAAAACAATGTTTACCTGCTAAAGAAGACCAAGTTTAGGTTGCCGAAGAAATGGGTCCAAAAAATGAACATACCAAACAAACGTCACAAGAAGAGTCTATCTATTATTGGCAGAGATAGTATATCAATGAAAGGGTACGACTGCTACAATTTCATGTCATTCAAAAGGGGGCCGTAATTTTTATTTCATCCGTTCAAAGGACCTAAAAGAACAAACGTGAACTGAAAAGCTGTGCAAAAGTTACTCCTACGGACAAAGTTTTCTTTGAACTTGGAAATGTGATAATGTGATAAAATAAGCAGTTTACTCACATTATTTGCCTTGTGATAGAAAGACAAAATGGGAATTTTTGTAAGCAAACACAGTTGTTGATTGAGGACAAATACAACTGCTAAAGTTTGAATCCGTGCATTGGTCACCTGCCGAAATCCAAACAAACATACACCCAATGGTGACAGCTTTCGTTGAGCAGATAGACAGTTATCTGACCAATCATTTTTATTCGCCACACTTAAAGTTTACTTTCATTCCGTAGTTATCGGTAAACATTAAAGTATTTCTTCCATATAAATACTACTGGCTCTAAAATTGAGTTAACGATTTTACCCTTCTTATATTCCGTTTAAGCGATTCATCAAAATAATTATTATCATTTATTGCTGAAATTTCAGTTTACGCTAAAATTAATTACACTAATGGCTGTTGTAAGTAGATACTTGAAAAAATATCACTTTTTGCCGAGAATTAATTAAAATTGAGCCAGTTTAGCAACCACCCCTCGCCTACATTTAAAATTTAAATGAAATTTATCCTTTATATGCAGATTTTAATTCATCTGCTGTTTCATATGTTTAAAACTTTCCTAAGCACCAGAACCAAGAAAGTCCTCTCTGATAGCATATCAAGAGTTCAAACCGAAGCAATACTTTGTCATCGTGGTGAGGAAGTAGACCGTTAATATTTCTTTACCGTACAAGATGCAAAAGCGAATAATATTTAACATCATGCTATTCATCTGGTACACTCAGCTTCGTGGGAGCGATGCGTCGAGATATGTTTATAACCTCAGAGACACCCGTCACTTTGTGGGCGGAAGTTGCACTGGATTCAATCAGGCTCTTATTGGCCAAGACTTAGGCTCTTCACAGACAACTGGAATCATCGATTGTGCACAGAGGTGCCTTGCTATGAACCCGTGCAGTGCTATAAATTTTGACTTTGAAAGTCGATGGTGCGAGCTGCACAAGTGGCAAAGTAAGGAATCGATAAACAGCGTTGTGTACAAGAGAGGGTCTGTGTTTGTGCTGTTTCTTTGAACCGCAATGAGTAAATAAGCCATTGGAATCGATTTGGTCAGTACAGTATCGTCGCCATTGAGAAGTCGAAGAGATAAATTTCTCGCATTTAATGAAAAAAGGACTTATATTGTATGAATTGTTTATTTATAAAAGTTTAAAATTTGTTTCTGGCTTTAAAAACTAATATGAAAGACGCCGACAGTACTAATTATCCAAGATGAACAACACTGTAAAAAACCTTTTTACGCTGATTATGATTAAACACAAGAATTTGTTCACTGTACTCGCAGACTGTGTCGTAGTTTTTGTCAAATAATTTCATGGAAAAGAACTCAGAACGCATTCAGTATGAAAACACAAGCCCTTCATTGAGGGCAACGGCAAAAATTACCATTCGTTTTGAATTTCTGCCATTTTTGGTACGCCTTGACACAGAAATTAGATTTCCTTAAATTAAAGTAGCTCAGCACGTTCTCCCATGACATTTGGCTCGTTACAGGCAATAAGAAAAATAACGAATCACCTAAAATGTTTCTATATTCGTTTGTGATTACCCGTTTCAGGCGCTAGTATAGGTTCTGACGTCAAGCAAAGGGCTCATCTGCCACAAAGTTAATTAGGGACATAGGCAACTGATCCTTTAAAGTAGTGGATGGGTAAACCTGTGCTGAACTTTAAAAAAATTTTAGGATATTATTAGGAATTGATCGTGCAACAACCTTCGTCAAAAACTTTGGGGCTCTGCTCAGATTTCTTGATACGTTTAAACTGGAGGGTGGCAATGTTCCTTTCCTATGTGCCCCAGCTGGGAGAATTTGTATCGGCCGTGTTGGCTTAAACACAAAATATTCAGGGGCTTTGTGTGCCCACTGGAAATTCTAACTCAGTGCTATGCATTCCATGAACATGTTTTGGATGAAGTCACTGTCTTTCCAATTTAGAAATGAGGTTCAGTTCACTTCTACATTTAAAATTTTTACTTTTTGGGGGGGAGGCCCTGACTGGAAACTACTTGACTTGAAGTTATGATAGACCGAGTGCAGCGAGGTTCGTACAACACGATCAACCGCCAAGTATGTTCCCTTAATAATAATAATAGGTATTTTATTATATTACGGCTGCTTCTTCCCCTACCTACGTTTTCCTTGTTTTTTTCCTTCTCGAGATGACGAGAACACTAGGGTAGGGTTTTTTCCGTAAGGTTTTTTCCGGCCCCGTTCATGTCATCACTCTTTCACGAAAATGTTTCATACTGTTTTTCAATAAGAGCGCACTTGAGGTCTTAACAGTCCATAGGTTATAAACTTGAAATGATTTTTTTCACTGATACAGAGGCTTCTATGTTAATTTCGCGCTTGAAGGGCAAAGAGTCTCTAAGAAGACATGTCAAGTATTTACCGCAATTTATGCAACAAAGGGTTTGTTACCAACCAACAAAATGAACAGCTCGAAGTTTTCTTTTTAGCTCAGTTAGCGGAGCACTGCACCAGTATCGCAAATGTCATTGTTTTAATTTCTGTACAAGCCTAAATTTTTCAGGCTTTATTTTCACTGCTGCGAGAGTTCTGCACTGCAAAAATCGCTCTTATCTCCATTTTTAAATCTGCAATTCATTTTCGTGATATTCATCTACTCACAGCTGTTCTTAAAAAATCCTCCGTAAGGCGACCGCTTTAGAAATAATGGCTTAGTGAGATTAAAGACCCAAGGGTGGAATAGATTTGACATGCAACAAAGGAAAAAGGTTTGAGAAGAAACAATACAACTTATTTGACTTTAGAATTTAAAGTACATATCTAACAATCCCTGCTAGGAAAATAAAAAAGATAGTCGAGGCAGAAAGGATGGTTGCCGCAGGTTGCAAGGCAATTTTTTCCGGATGTATGACTTATGACGTAATTTCTGCTCTATACGCAACGCAACCAAAAGATTGAACATAATGTTGGAAATGATCAAAGACTAACAACGTTGGAAAATGGCTGGTTCCCATGTGCACCACTTTCATTTATGTGACCGCCTCTGCTCACACAAAGGCAGTCACATAGATAGACCTTTTCTCAGATCTGTCAGTTTAGTAAGTCTACGAGCCTAAGGTCATCCGCTTGAACTAGGCGTCATGTAGCCTACAATTATTCTTCTGAAAAAAAAAAAAAAAAAAGGATTCACTCCCCTTTTTCGTTCTTTCCAAAAATGTGTCCAAGTGTGTCTCGGTACTTCAAATTATACTTTCACACATCAGGTGAATGCTTAAGCAAATCACACGTCGGCTGACAAGAAGCGAATTGGGTCGGAGAAGAGCGCACATTGCTTTAGATTATAATTTGATAACAACGGAGGGGGGCATTGGGGCCCATTAGAAACCGCACAACCGTAGAAAAACTGAAAAAAAGTTCGATCAAAACCGAAAACCGCATGCAAAACTGTCAAAACCGATACATTTTCACATCCCAGTTATTAAAACCCTGATCGATCCGATACAGTGGTGACAAGTGAAGTATACAGAGTAATATAAACTACGCTAATTTCATAACAGTATTTGTGAATACCATGGACTTTGCATTCGTATCTTCTAGTATCTGCTTAAATTAACAGCTGCTCTCACGAGGACCTCGAGCGTGGTCTCTGCGGATTCAGCAGCTGGTAATGGAGCCTTATCAAATTAAGGAAATTGCACAAAAGTCGTCGATAGGATTGCAATTTGCAGTCGCAAAAAGCCATAGCTCTGAAAAGTTTCATCCAAAATCCCTAATCTAACATTTCCTTGTGCGAACTAAGACCTGAAAGTTTGGAGATTCTATCGGAATGTTTAGAGGAAGAGAAGAGAAACCGGAACCCAAATGGGTCTAATTGGAAAAACCGAAAACCGCATCGGATATCAAATCCGAGAACCCGTTAGTATTTTTCGCGAAAACCGAAAACCAAATGCTAAAAGGGGAAAATCCACAAACGACAATGAACAACGAAACCGAAAAACCGAAAAACCGATCCAAAAAACAGCCAAAACCGCAAAACCGAAAATCCCAGTACTCACAAAGCATTAGACACTTTTATGCACAACGAAACGACCCACTGGGTGAGGAGTTCTGAGAGTAAGCTTCTTTGTCGCGCTTCGAGATTTACATGCTTCCTTATTTACTTCACAATCTGAGAAGAAGTTCTTGACAACGATCGACTTACTTATTACCAGACCACTTTGAAAGGTTACTCTTTGTTTTATTCATATCTACCTGTGGACACTAATTTAAAAACTGTATCTTTTTCTTTAGGATACTCATAAATCAGACCTCTATATAACCATAGTTACCTTTTTATTATATTTACTTGATAATAATTTTTTCATTAGACAGGGCTCATGAATATGATGTCTGTCCTTTTAAAACCCTAAATCATCATTTGATTATAAGAGACATTTTACCTTTGCCATCAAAATACTCTCTAAACGCTTATTCACCAGAATCATAGGCTCTCATAAGTCCGGTGGCTTCCTGGGTCTCCTCGCCTTCTATAGCTACAACCGCTGTCAATAAATTTTTTGTCTTGTGTAAATAAGGCAAATAAAAGATGATGAAACTGCTCTTCTTGAAACGTCTACTGCAACCAATTTTCCTTTCTTTTACTTGTCATCTGAAGATGATGTGAAAGAAAGGCTATGACACGACTAGCCTGAACAATAAGTATCTGTATTATGCTCCTTAAATCGATATAACTAACTCATTAATCATTTACAGCTAGTGAAAAACAACTTTTATTTTCAGCGGTCTTTGTATTCCTCTCCCCTTGTTACACATATCTCTATCGGGTCTTCGAATGTTTCCAAGCCGATGCTACCGCTTGATTTTCCACTAACTATAAGGGAAATCAGAGGGAGAAAGGTTGATTAGGCGCGCAGTAAATGTACTTGCCAGTAGAGGAGGGAAAGGTTGCGCACTTCCTTATTTGGCCTACAAGGATATGGTCTGTCAAGCATGGTATGATCTCAGTAGGGATCTTGATCCTTAAGATAAGCATGCATATACCTCTTTCTGTTCCACGTGTAAACACGAACGAGCCCCCAAATGTATTAGACCTCGTATCTGAGTAAGAAATCAGCAAGAAATTAGCTAATGACCACCTCTTTATAATTTGATCGAACCTAAGCCTTTGATCTTTATTTGAATTATTCTTTACTTCTATTTTTATTTCTGACATATCACTCGTCTACAACATACCTGTACCTTCTTCCTTTTTCCGTTGATCACGAGTCTTTGTCAAATCCCATGCACTGCCAGCAACAAAAATCACTGCTACTAGTCCCACAGAGGCATAAATTATGATGGCAGCCGTGTCGTCCTTTTGAAAGTCTTTTATCTTTCCATAATCATCCATCTTAATATCGCAGTACTTTAACGAATCACTGGCTTTTTCAGCTTGAAATGGATCACAATCTTCAACGTGTTTCTTCACATTATTCTTAACACACTGCACAAGGGACTGAACTGGAAATGTTTCATTTGCAAGGTAGAGGCATGTGGTATTCACCTTCATTTCAGTTCCAATTATGTGGCGCTTCAGAGCCTTCACAATCTGCTTGTCACGATCCACACCCTCGCCTGCCTTGCAGCTGTAATACACAATTCGTTGCTTATTTCCATTCGCCAAGTGAGTGTCAAGATCTTGCGAGGAATTCATCTCTAGAAAAATTTAAAAGTAGAAACAAAAAAGAAAACGGTTTTGAATATCACACATAAATTTCTTCGATATCATTTCTGTCTTCACATGGATCTAGAGGACAATGGCTCTGAGGAGATTAGAGTTCAATCAGCAGCATGTTGCATCAGATTTAAAATGCAAAAAATGTGGTTCTAGAAGGTTGAAGTTGAAACATTTGTGCCAAATCAGTTACAAAGAACCAGCACATTTGCTTGTTCTATAATCAGAAGGAGTTTGATTTCAGCTCATACTTTAAGCTTCTCTTCAAGATGTACTTGCAGTATATTGTTGCACATTTTTGCATGCATAATGCAAGGGTTGGTTACTACTGACCATTTAGTGGCAGCAGTCTGCTTTTTATCTTTTTTTTTCTTAGAAAATTGAAACTCAGTTTGACAGATGACTTTCCATGAATGCCTCTTTCCACCTATACTATTGTCCAAATCGTTTGAACTGTATTTCAGGTCTTTGGAGAGATTTATTTACTAGATGGACCCTGAAAAGTGTAGCTACTTTCATGTTTGATGTTTTCCTTGCAGGTCTTGCCAGATTTTGTGAGAGCATCATTGACTATGTTGCAAATGCAGAGAGTGCGCCGTACCCTAATATCACAGTTGACAGGTTTTATGGTGAAATATCGTCAGCTTATGACATTTTATTTAGTGTGTGGATCAGAGCCAGTGAGGCCAAGGCAAGAAAAAGCTAAGAACATCTTTAGTTATTGACAGTACAATACAGGACAGAACTCTAATATAAAACTATATAGTTTTCAAACACCTTGACGGCCTTAACCCGACCCTCGTTTCTAAAGGCTGTTTCTCACACATTTTGAGAAAACTTAGCCAATTCAGTTAAATCTCCTCATTTATTCTTAAAATGAGAAATTACTTCATTGTATGAGATGTACTAGATTACAAACCAAAAATGTAATTTACATTAAGAACGTGCTGAAACAGGTTTCCCTCCCTAATTCAATCAAATCTGTGGTTTAAAGGCTGGCATATCCCAAATTTTTCTAAGTTGAGGTTGAAGGCTTATTCTTCTTGAGTTGTCAACAGCAACAGAAATAAAATGAAAATAAGGTACAGCTTTCGGTCAGGATCGTGATCTTTCGCTGCAATAAGGGGCCGTTTAAATTACCTATGATTTTTGCGCCTCTGAACTCCTCCTGAAAGTACTGCTTGCTGCCATTAGGGACTCCGATCTGTAAGAGAGCATAAGGGTAGAAAAGTTTAGGTTGTTGCGTCGTTAACAGGGAAACTAATTAACTTCGAAACAAGCCCGCGCTAGCGATAGGTACGAAGATTCTTATGCGTCTTTTTCTTTTTTTGTATTGCCTTTTATAGCCTCCTATTGCTGCCACTGTTGTTGCCACTACGGGTCTATTAAATCGCCTTTATAGTGCATACCCTTAAGAATTCTCTCAGTGAACATGTTTGGGTTATAGGCCGACTGACCTTGGGGAGACCTTGGGGAATTAAATCTCTTGATCGAATTGCGCCAAATATTTTCAGCATCACAATTATCAAGCAACAACCCCTGTTCACGTCGATATATGTCCTCCGATTATTCATATCAAACTCATGGGGTACAAATAGTCTTAACATGAATGTAGTGACCACGTCCACTTCAACACCCCACTCAAATCGAGTGTAATTTTCGAATGTTTTACCATCGTGCGGATTCTCTACGGAAAAAGCACTCAATGTACCTCTGAAATATTAAACTATAATATTGTGGCTTTCTATTTCGCTAATTTTCTGACTTGAAGGTAAAGTTTTTCCCTCGTCATTTTTACCTTTTCTCCGAGCGGTTGCGTGAAATTAACAAGGCGTTTTTGATCAAAACACGACCGAGCGAAGGGTCTCGGGCGATATCTCTTTTACGCAGGCGCAAATTAAAAATGTACCGCCAGAATCAAAAGGAGGAACAAATTCCTTTGTTTTGATATGTAAAGTGTCGAACAAAAAGCAGATTTACCTTCGTCAAATGGCGTTTCAAAACAGCTGTATCTTCCTCCTTTTGATTTTTCTTGTTTTGTAAGCGTGAAAGCAGTAGGAGAGGGATCGGGAAACTCAGAAAGCGCTTCGGGAATTAATCTGCCATCGTTTACTTACAAGATAAACAAGTAAGATTTGTGAAGTTCATTGAAGTATGAAGTATGAATAAATGCCTTTTTAAAGCTTGTTTGCTGGATTTTTCGTAAACTTCCCTGATTAATTTTTCGTTTCAGCTTACTAGTCTATACTATTTCAAAGCAATGTCAAGACGAAGACGGAGAACCATGAGTCGGTCCTTTCAACAATCGTAAACAAAGTGTTTGAGCAATCAGGTATACGAGGTGTAATAATCAATAGCCGCATATCTGAAATCTTCAGAAAGAAAGTATTCTGCCTTCAGAAAGCTGTCAACAAAGCTAATAATCGTGGTGGAAGGCAATGAAACGGGCCCTCGTTATCGATTTAATATCATATCGATCTCAATATCATACAGTTTTGTATCTTTCTTCCGTGGATTCGCCTTTCTAACGAGGGTGTATGTTGAGAATTCATTGCAAAATCGCTTTGTGTTTTTTAATTTCCCTCTTTAACCTGTCCGCCATTTTGAAAATTCGTAACGGAGAGCATGCGTATTACGTGGGGTTAGTGGTTGCGTACACCTGGAACCGAGAAAAACAAATGTTCGTCGCACTGGGGAAAGAGTTTGATATGTGCGTCGAAAGTCAGCGGAGAAAAGCCACCTCAAGAATTTCACTTTTTCATCATCATTACTTTATATGGAGGAAAAAACGAACTCGTTATGTAGAGTCCGGTGGTAGTGACATTAAAAAAGCTGATTTGAAATGCTGCTTCGGACAGTACAAAAAAAAGTCAACAAAATTTTCTGTCAAAGCGGGATACGGAAATTAGCAAAAGAGTTCTAAAATAAATAACACCTGTTCAGGCGTGCTGGTCTGTCGGCTTGGTGCTTTGTTATAATTATGAGTTCTTTTAAAGTTGTTCAAGTTTTACCTTTGCGTAATTTATAAAGCTTGTTTGTCGAACAGCGACTTCTGTCGGTGGTCATATTTGGTTTTGTCTCTTGACCTGAGCTTCGCTTCTCGGCCAAATATTCATTTTTCGGAAAATGTCGCAGCGGCGGGCATTATCAGTCGATTTACCAGCCACCTGAGGGGTTTGTTTACTAAATATGAAGCCCATCTTTGAAAACTAGAACCGAAAAAAAGTTTTGGTGCTTGTCCAACCTGACCAACTGAAACAACGAGGATCATATCGCGCAAGTCGCTATTGCTGAAAATGAACATTACATTCAAGACTTCATCGCCCGATAAAGCCTAATACCATGCACAAAAAACGTCGCAATGTAATTTACAGGGGATTAATCGTGAGACTTTCGCTAATATTTGAAATTTTTTTTTCCTTTTGTGCGATTTGAACAGTTCAACATAATATCCTGTAACATCTTGCAAGCATTATTCAGTACCTTTCATGCTTGAGATTCAAAATTATGCAAAATTAAACATACATGTCATTTACACGAGGACAATTGAGACAAAAAGTAATAACGATTTAAAGATATAATTACAGATCGATTCAGGAGAGAATGGTGAGGTTTTGTCTGACTTGCTGTCAATATGGAGGAAACTTCAGCTGCGAATATGGAGAGAATGATCATACCGATTATCATCCAAGCTGCAGCATAAATACGAGCTAGTGAAGACTTGGGGGACTTGTCTCCATATCTTGAAAAGAAAGGAAAAAAATACAGTTGTTTAGATAGTAGAGTTAACTTTTGTACAGTTTCTCTAGGTATGCATTACAGCAGTTCTCTAAAATCCGGCCAGAATGATCCTTAAGAAAATATTCTAGTTATCTGGTCTTCACACGCCCAAAGTAAGATAAATCAAGTAATCATCAGCAACCAGTCATCCTACAATTTTTGCCGCTTGAGTGAATAAATTTGCATGATAGAATTATCTAGAGTAGGTGATTTCCACAAACCCAACAGTAGTCATGGTAACCACTGCCCACCACGTTCCTTCGCGAACGCCTTCCCAGAAGGACCGTGGAAACTCCTCAGAGTTTTTTCGTCGATCCTGAAACCGAAAAGTAAGCTCTGATGAATTGAAAGATTCTTTGTCGAGAAAGCTAGCTTTTGAATGCAAACCTCGTAGAGAAAAATGTTTCTGAAGGGTCTTGATATTAGCAGGCTAGTCAAGAACTTAAAGAAAGCGACAAAACTTTTAAGTCTTTTAAGGCGTGATCTAAAACATATGAGCTATCTGCTGAACTCAAAGCGCGACAATGTTCAGAATCTCGCTGATGTTTGAAAATGTGAGAGGCCCTGTCACTGGAAGTTGAATTTATATAGATAGAAAAATGCTAATTATGAAATGGTGACAACAAGAAGGAGGTAAAGCATGAAAGTGTGATAATTAAAAGGATAGTTTGAGATTTACATGGCACGTTTCGCGGAGGTAACAGGCATTACAGCCAACACATGCAAACTTATAAACCACACGTAAACGGAGCCCGTCGGCATCTTTCCACGCGTGTTAGAGAGCACTCACATTTTCAAACATCTGCAAGATTCTGAACATTGTCGCGCTTTGTGTTCAGCAGATAGCCTCCATGTTTTGGATCACGCCTCTCCGGTTTTCAACTCAAGATAAAAGAGGCTAGTCATATTCAAAGAGAACAACCCTCTTTGAATCAACAATTACACCATGTAAGGACGTTTCCAAAGACCCTTTGGAAGCATCACTCTATTTATTATAAATTCAACCTTCAACGCTTTGTATAGTAATCAACTGAAGATGACAGAAGTTTCTGTCGAAACATGTTTTACAAACTTAAAACTTTTGTCGTTTTCTTCAAAAACCTCGTAGAATTGGAATTTATTGAAAATATATGGCGAAGGAATAACGGAACAAACGTTGTTGAGCAATCGATAAGGGAGATCGCCGAGGCACGATGGTTGGATTGGATGCAAATGTCATGACCAAACGGGTAGCATATGTTCAGTGAGTCCTTAATATACTACGCCATTTTCTTACCAAACCATCCTTGAGTACGCTGAGGATCGGCGATAGTTTGATTTATCATACAGTAATATCGGGCCTCAATTGAGACAATAGAACATGATTTGAAATAGGTAAAAACAAGTACCAGATCAATACCCATTGTATATCGAGAGGGAGACTGATCAACTTACCAACAGCCATATGATAACTCCTGATATCAACGTCCAAGTGACACAGATACAAATTATTGGCCAGAGATGGGCAGCAGAATAGGAAACCACCGTTACGATATCATTGTTTCCTTCTTTCATAACTAAGTAAGCTGGTGGCGCGTTTAAACCACACACAAATGTTTTTTTCTCGCAGTTTTTCTCTCCAGTAAAGACAGGGTAATTATACGTGATCAAACAGTTTAAGGGCGCTTTGGCCGTGTTCACGCACAAATGCGACATCATCCGCAAAATAAATTCCCCGCGTTTTTCCCAACTGTGTTTGAAAGCACTAGGTAATTCTTTATCCTCCGGCCAAAACTTTGGCTCCTTCCAGTTAACCGAAATGTTTGTTGACTGAGAGGTAGTAAGGACATTTTCAGTACAATTGATTCTGCAATTTTGTTGTAAATTCTGCTTTGCCACATCAATCTTAGAATCGTTTACAGAAGAAGCGCAGAGCTCAAGAAGCTGCCTCACGCACGTAAAGCTGTAAAACCGTGGAGGTAACAGATGCGAAGTTGCCTCACTGCAACAGTTTGTTAAATTTATGTTTGAATTATCCTCACAGCAGAACTTATAGCACATACTTTCGTCACCTCGGATGTCAGTCCAACGGGTGAGTAAGACTCCAATTATTGCAAGAAGAGACGCAACAGTTTTCATTTTGTGAGTGAAGGATCCTTTTTGCTTCGATACCTCGACGATGTATTCGAAGTGTTTTAAAACAAATATTCATTAGTGTTCTATGTGTGACAAAAAGTCCCAGATGTTTTTACTCATTAATGTTTTTAGACTTTTCATTAGCAAGTTAAAAGAAAACGGGCTTCTGCTGCTGAAGAGAAAAACATCCTGAGTCACGGCTGAATGACATTAATTAATCAAATATAATTTTTGAGATGTATTTTCTTTGTCTTTATGAAAACTCGCCAATAAAGGTTTCAACTCTTCTCTTGACGATAACTAATTTTTAAAAGTTATTTATGGCACATTTGTATGGAAATCGACACCAATGACGCGGATATTACTGGATAAAAAGGAGGTCTTCATTAGCGTCTCTCTGTGAAGCGTTCACAATGGATGCCATAGAGAACAGGTAGACATGAAGGTATTCTTGAGGCTCCCCGGAGACCCAGATGCGAACACTACATTCATGGAATATGAAATGTTCTTTTTAGGCTGCTTAAATTCATGAAAAAGTGTATTTTACTATTTTCAAAATTATGATGATGCAAAGGTGAGCAACTAACACCTGCAGACAAACTAATATTGATTACTCCCTTTCCATCAAGTTATTGCCCTGGATGGTATCATGACGCAAGTACACTGTGTTATTTTATGTTGATCTTTCCCATATGTAATTTTATGCCATCTCCTTTGACGTTTACGCGACTTCCCTTTAGTGGTCATTAATATGTAATGCACTAGATTTTTGACAATTCCCCCTTCACCTTTTTTCAACAAAACAAGGTTTTAACAAAAAAATTAATTTTTATAATGCTTTCCCCACAAAAAGTTTCAATTCGGACGGCATTCGCGTCGCATGAGAAAAGCTTTTGAAGATTAAATGCCTATAACAGCAGGCAAAAGTTTTTTTTTCTGAAACGTGTAATGAGTTGTAGCTGTTGTAATTTAAAAAGGAAAAAAAAAACATCTTCCTCCGCTCAAAGTTTTCCATTTCTATAGAATAGGAACAGGTTAAAAAATAAGTCAGAAGATTACTGGCTCCCTATCTATTAATTCCTTCGCAACTAAAGAAATCATTTCAATGAATTGAACATATTGCATGAAACCATAAATGACAGATGTGTTGGCAAACTGTGTACTATATGTTTTGTATGTGCTTAGTCGCTTAGCAGGCTGAAATAAGTTGACTTAACCAGTTAGCATGCCTCCACGTTTCCTCTCCATTTATTCATTTATTCGTTCATTCTTCCATTCATTCATGGAAGAATTCGTTCACAAGGATTTGTTATCATTGATATCCCTACTGAGAAGAACAATGTTTACACTGCAACTTTATCCAAAAGAACTCGGGGGCTGCTAATCATATACTAAAAACATTATATTATGAACTGTTTCAGAAAAACTAAAACAGCTCAAATGACTAGGTCGTAACACTTAATCGTGTCTTTTGACTTAAGGTTTTCTCATAATAAATTTTGATATCTAAAACTTTAAAGAATTTCCTTCATCAGAGATCTATTGTAGAGAATCTCATTCGGTCAACTTCTCTATGTGAATACTAATATGAATAGATTTACATGATAGGTTTTACTAATTAAAAGCAAAATTTAATAAATATTTTCGGTGGTTTTTCAGCAAGCCCTCTAAAATTGCGTGAAGATTTGTGAATAAAAGTTAGGTAACAGTGAGGTTAAACAGTAAGTAACCCGAAACTAAACCCAGATGGTGAGTAAAAGTTCCTAATATAAGAACGGTATCGAAGTACGGTATGCTTTAACGGGTTACTTTAGTGTGCAGCTATCATCATTGCCGTTGCTTCACAGTGCAAGGATGAAGAGACTTCAGAATATTTGGCGCCGTTTTCATAATTGGTGATTAGAATGGGAAGTAGGGCCCTAAGGAGAGGATGTTAAAGTTTTCTTTTTTAACTTACCAAGAAAATGTCGTGGTCATTGCACTTATTGAAAAAGCGCATTCGCCTGCCTAGTTAATTAGTAACGCCAGACTGACGGAGGCAGGTGCAAGGCAAAAGTGTTAAAGTGAAAAGTAATATTTTAATCGCTGACACCTACATCCTTGTTGCATTGTTGAAGATTTCGACTACTTCTCAAACTATTTTTGTGACAATTCTACCCATTAACAACATTTCCAATTTCACTATACAATTGTTAATATTGCACATCATAACTTAAGTTTCTTTGCCCATCCGGTTTTAATTTTAAAATAACATTAATATAATTCTGCTTGGACATTTATCAGATCGTTGAAATGTTTATATCTTCCACTCTTCGCTTCTTTCTCGCTTTAATCCTGGTGGAAGCCCTCTCACCACGCTTGCGGATACAAAATAATCGCATTTCTATCTGTTGCGCCTCTGTGAAGTTTTTTCTTAAAATAATTTCGAGGAAAGCTACTCGAAACTGTCTTAATCTCGCAGCATGAATTATTGGATTGGCAACCGAATTTTATATTGGAATAAACCCTCCGATGAATAAAATGATATATGTAATATTCAATCAATATTCAAACCTTGGAAAGAACGAGCCGAATAACAGTTATGGGAAAGTAAAATAACAGCATCGTTAAAACAACATAAGTTGTCAATTTCAAGGCTTTCTTTTCTTTCTCAAACTTTTGTCTGGACTCCATCTTGACTGCAACCTGCTGGGCGCGAATTTGCGTTTGTGTCTCCGAGCTTCCCTGTAGAGTACAAACTGGCCAACAATTATAATCGCTAGGGATAGCCAAAAAATCGCAAGAACCGGGAAGAGGAATCTAACTTTGAAGACCAAATAAATAATCGTGAAGAGGAGATTCACGACCCAGGCGACGATGGAAGCAGCCACTATCCGTCTCTCGGTGACACCAACATTATTGCTATATGGACGAAAAATGGCAAAGAGGCGCTCGACGGTCATCAAAACTAATTGAAATAGCGAAGCCCCGCAGAACATTCCTAGCCCATTGCTAAAAGTTAACCTGATCAAGCAAGTCGTACTAGATAAATCTCCCTCAACGGTTGATATCACTGACATTACCACCGGAAAGTAAAAAGGTTGCACGAAAACTCCAACTAACAGATCCGTGGTTTCCAAACATGCAATAACGACATTAGAGTTTGTTCTTAGCCGCTGCCTGGTTTTCACGGCGGCTATCACCAGCAGATTTAATACAACTGTGAAGGGAAATGTAACGCAGTTAAAAACCAGGGAAAAAACTAAGGCTACATTAACTTTGGGAGGTACATTATGAAGTTTGCGTTTGAAATAAAGGCTTTCACATTCAATTGGTATCTCTTGGGAAGGAGAAGCACTTGAATTCATGATTAGCATTTGAGTTGACTTTCATCCATTCCTATAAAGTTAATGGATTCAATTGACAGCTGAACGGCTTTTCGATGTTCCTTTGTCTCTCGTATTACTTAAAGATTACTGGCATATCCGTGGCCTTCGAAGAGCATTTGAATGATCAAATCCTTTCGCTGAGGAAGACTTTATAAGGATGTTACTGATAGCAATTACTACTTCAGCGTTTTCTTTTGGAGCTTTCAGCTCACGGAAAACAGAAATTACGAAGTGTACTTGTACAAATGAGTGCATTTTTTCTTTGTTTTAGGTGTAAGGACAAATCTATTAGTTAAGTGGACCGTTACTGAAGTGTCTTTTTTCATATAATGATTGTAACTTTGTCTTCTTAACGGTACTGGTTGCCAGACTTAAAAATTTAACACAATGGAGGAACACTATTGATGCAATCGTTTCCTTTAGTCAGTCTCTCCTTTTAGCGGAAGAGGCTTATGGTTTTCCCACGATCAAAATTGTAAGTGGAAATTTCAAACAATAGCCGTCATTGGTGATTTTTTGATAAAACTGATTGCTCACTTCGCACGAAAATGCCCAATTAAAACGATTAGACAGTTTATCAACCGCTTACGAATATAAAAATTGTATTAGCTTAAAATTTAACAATTCAACCAATTATCTGATGGAGGCAAGCTAGTATAGATGACGCTGAGATTAATAATAGCACGGACAATCATTTTCTTTATTCATATACGGCTCAAACTATAGGTGATCGATATAAAATAGCGGGTTAAATTGGTTCAAATAATTTTTGGGGGAGAAAACCCCAGATTTTTGACGTTACGAATGACTTTTATTTCAAAACGACGTTGAAATGATTCAGCGTCTGAATCAGCCGCTGATTCAGAAACACAAATCTGTTTCATCCCTTGTGTTGGGAGCGTGATAAATACGTCCACGGAAAATGGACGTTACAAATTGACCGAGACAAAGTGAATGCATTCTTTATAAAGTGGTTACATAATAGTAATACTTTCGATTTAATCGTTTCTATCAGCGAAGAGCTGCAAACGATCAAGGTTTTCTCACAATTAATTTTGATACTGTAAACACAATTAATTTTGATACTGTAAACGTCAGTAGAACTCCCTCAGCCTTTGCTGGAAGTACAGTGTTCCTCAAAACGTAAAAGCAATTTTAAGTCAGTACTGTGCTGCCGTAAGGCTTAAAGTGTGAGAAGTACTCTCACTTATATTATTAGAAGTACCCTTATATATTTCTTTGAGAAGTACCCTTATTTCCCTTCGCCTGAATGCTACATAATAAAAGCTTTGGCGATCTTTCAGCAAAACAGTATATGATAATGACGAATCCCTCAATCTTCACTTAATCGCCGTAACAATAATTGCTAGAATGATATATATCAGCGAGATATCGCAGGAAAGTTAAAATATTATTCCGTTGATTGATTCTTGCAAATTGTCAAAAAACGGTGCGGCATATTGTATTACCGTGTATCGTCGGATCAGCTACGCCGCCTGTTTTCAGTGTTTATCACTCGTATGATTACAGACCGAATTGGTCTCTACTCGGCCTTTCTGCGGCAGACCGCCAGCAAAGTAGACTACCTTTTTTCGTGGCTTATGCTCCCGAATCTTCAAAGCGCATTGGAAGGAA